GAAGTCCCAAACTAATAATCTAGTAGTGTGCATCCCTAGATGTAACATTCATGCAATTACTTGGGAATGGACTTACCTAAAATCTTTAAACTAGTCACTCATCCAAAAAATGTAAGTCATATTCAGCATCTGAAGCAAGTTTGAGAGTGTTCATCCTGTGATGCATTATCCATGCAAGCCCTTATAGTTTAACTTGATCACTCATCTGGAAAATGATGGTCAGATACAGCATCCGAAGCAAGCCTGGTAGTGTGCATCTTTAGATGTATCATCCATGCAAGTTTGGTCAACATAGGGCTTAAAGTTACTTGGAAATGAGATCTGCTCCAAAAACTTTAACCTGGTGACTCATCCGGAAAATGTAGGTCAGATCCAGCATTCGAAGTAAGCCTAGTAGTGTGCATCCTAAGATGTATCATCCTTGCAAGTTTGGTCAACATAGGACTTTTAGTTACTTGGAAATGAGATCTGCTCCAAAAACTTTAACCTGGTGACTCATCCGGAAAATGTAGGTCAGATCCAACATCCGAAGCAGGCCCAGTAGTGTACATCCTTAGATGTATCATCCTTGCAAGTTTGGTCAACATAGGACTTATAGTTACTTGGAAATGAGATCTGCTCCAAAAACTTTAACCTGGTGACTCATCCGGAAAATGTAGGTCAGATCCAACATTCGAAGCAAGCCTGGTAGTGTGCATCCTTATAGATGTATCATCCATATAAGTTTGGTCAACATAAGTTTCTTGGAAACAAGATCTGCTCCAAAACTCTAACCTGCTCCAAAAACTCTAACCTGCTCAAAAAACATTAACCTGGTCATTCTTTAGCTGAAATTGCAGCATCTGAAACCTTGACTGGTACAATGAAACACAATGAAACCCCCATACACCTCCGATTGATATAGGGCATAGAAGTACTTGAAAAGAAATGCTCCAAAAACTTTAACCTGGGACGCCGACACCGATGGTATCAAGCTCCCTTAACTTCGTTGAGGTGAGCTAAAAAGCATACAAGTGTCCTTGCCTTTGGCATACAAGGTCAGCCTGGGTTTGTTGTGATATCTACAGGATTTATGTTGTTCTATTGACGTAGAACTGTTTATAGTAAATTAGATTCGACCAATGTAAACATACAACCTCTTTGATATGTGAAAAAGGTGTCAGAATTAACGCCAATTTAACAGGAACTCAGTGATGCTGATAGATATAAGCCTGTCATTGTTACGTTTCTCAAGCTAATCTGGAGGATCCTGACTTTATTTTCTCGATTCTGTGACACAGTCACATTAAGCCGACAAATACTGTCCAAGTTACTTAAATAGGAGAACAAGAGAGAAGTACGACAGGCTTCGTAAACAACAAAGGACTTTCATTATGATTGATACTTTGCTATCGGAGAAAAAGAAATCTCTCAATACAGATTGATTCACACAAATCCTTGAAATCAAAAACCAAAAGTAGTATTCTAGCTCACACCAAGAAAGCTGCAATACATTGCAAAATTATTTTTCTCTACTGAGGAATTTCATATTTAGATTACCTACGATGAAAAAAATTAAACCAAGATAATTCTTTTAAAAGTACAAAATATTTACATGGTATAACAATTAAACAGTTTACATAGCTACAGAGCCTATTTAATCCATGTGACCCTCTGCTGCTAAGAGTCTAGCACGTGGCAACATACAAAACAAGAGGCCCATGGGCCACATCGCTCACCTGAGCACTGTGGCTTGCTAGGAAAAAAGCAGAAATCGGTTCAGTATTAAAAAAATTTAAAAACAAAAGTGGTCCCAACCTACCCCTAAATGGGGGGGTCAAGATTTGAACAAACTTGAATCTACACTACCTGAGGATGCTTCCATATAAATATGACCAATCATTGCTTTGATGTTCTGGAAAAGATTTTTAAAGATTTTTCCTAGTATGTATTCCTATGTAAAACTTTGCTCGCCCATTGTGGCCCCACCCCACCCGGGGGTCATGATTTGAACAAATTTGAATCTACACTACACAATAAATGTTTCACACAAGTTTCAACTTTTCTGGCCCAATGGTTCTTGAGAAGATTTTTAAATGATGCCACCAATTTTTACTAATTCATAATTATCTCCCCTTGAAAGAGGGTGTGGTCCTTCAGTTGAACAATCTTGAATCCCCTTCACCCAAGGATACTTTGTAGCAAGTTTGGTTGTAATTGGCCGAGTGGTTCTGGAGAAGAAGTCGAACATGTGAAAAGTTTACAGACGGACAGCTAGACGGACGCCGGACAAAATGTGATCAGAAAAGATCACTTGAGCTTTCAGCTCAGGTGAGCTAAAAACCCAACATTTTTTAAGCAATGGTGAGGTTTTGGTGCAGGGCCTTCCCCTGCAACTATATAATACTACCTGGATCAAACTTGCATGGATGATTCATGGGTGTCTTCCAACTATTCCCACCTTTTAAAAATCACCATTCCACTTACCCCCAGTTACAACAAAAGATGTACTGATTATTCATTTGTTTTTTATACATAGCAATTGGGTTAATTAATTCCACTTTAAATTTATCTGTATTTTGTACACTTTAAGACAGAAAATATATTATATCGATTCAAGACAAAAAGATTTAATTCACTTAATTTTGCACACTTAAATATAGAATACAAATTACTTTTTTTCACTTAATTTGTTTAAAATAAGTTCCTCATTGACAAATCTGTGTAGTCTTTGGAGACCAGGTCTATCAACAATCTGTTCGAATTCCAATGGACACTAATTGTGCTCCTTTATTAACCTGTTTTTATATTCCAATGTAGCAGAATTTGTTCAAAAACTTCTTCATTAGAAGAAGAAAACTCCTGCTGTGGCATCCAAAATTTAGATATACTGACGACTTTTTATCACTTAACAATAGTTACTTTCATTCATACGTCGACTCAATATAATTAATAGTAAATAATTTGTAGACAAAAAAGGACACCAATTTCACTCAACAAATATCATACAAGTGTCCTTGGCCCTTGGCATAAAAAGTGAGCTCGGTTTTGTTGTTGTTTCCGAGGGGATTAATGTTGACATAATGACTTCTTTATAGTAAATTTGTTTCGACCAATGTAAACGTACAACTTCTTTGATATGTGAAAAAGGTGTCAGAATTAACGCCAATTTAACAGGAACTCAGTGATGCTAATTGATGTAATGCTGTCATTGTTACGTTTCTTCTCATACAAATCTGGAGGATCCTGACTTTATTTCCTCGATTCTGTGACACAGTCACACTAAGCCGACATAAATAGGAGACTAAGGGAAAAATAAGGCGGGCTTCGTAAACAACAAAGTAATGTGAAGAACTTTTATTTTGATCAGAAAAAAGAAACTTCTTTCTACGAAAGCCTATTAGGATCAAACTACGGTAAAAAAAAAATTAAAAGGCGTTATAACGCCTTTTCAAAAGGCGTTATAACGCGAAAAAAGGCGTAATAACGCCTTTTCAAAAGGCGTTATAACGCGGAAAAAGGCGTAATAACGCAAATAAAGGCGTAATTACGCCTTTCCAAAAGGCGTTATAACGCGAAAAAAGGCGTTATTACGCCTTTCCAAAAGGCGTTATTACGCCTTTCTAAAAGGCGTTATAACGCCTTTCCAAAAGGCGTTATTACGCCTTTCCAAAAGGCGTTATTACGCCGCTTTTTTTTCAATACAGGACTTACTTAGCCCACCCTGGGGGCTGATTATAATTAGATTTCTAGGAAAAAAGATTTTTAAATGTGTAAAATATTTTCAGTGTTAAACCAACTTAGTCCTTCTCTGATGCCAGACGCTTCTACCAAGGTGTATGGATTTCAGAAATTTTGTTGAAGGCTAATTGCTCATTATACCTATGCAAATACTTTGCTGTTTTTTACCAAGAGGAGAGAAAAATATTTCAATGACATGAATTTTTAATACGTGGCTAGCAAAGCCCAAAGCTGGTTCTGCCTATATCCTGGATTTTCAAAAGTAGAGTGTTGACTTCTCTTAATATGCATGCAAAATGCAATCAACTGTCTGCGAGATGTGCAGGAATATAGAAAATACTATAATTTATAATATAATTTATAATATTAAAACTATAATCTAAATATTGCATAAATAAAGATGGCTTTGGTTCAATCTTTCATATATTTACTATTTTAAAATAACGCCTTTCCATTTTTGGATACAACTCCTTTTCAAACAGGCCGGTAGTACGAATGTGAGTTGGGGGGGGGGGGGGGGTCCCCCACCCCACTTTTTGGGAGAATAGTCGGGGGGGGGGGGTCCCCCACCCCACTTTTTGGGAGAATAGTCTTGCTATAGTTTAAATATAAAAAATCATTAATTGATTGCTTGGTCCCTTAACATTTTGTTGCAGTATGGTTAAACTCGAGCAAGTCATTGCATTTAAAAAAAGTTTTACCGAAAAATTAGAAAAAGTTTCCCCTCAAGTTTAGGCAATTATTTTTTTCGGGGGGGGGGGGGGTCTTGTTTTTTTTTTGTTTGCTTGTCAATTTTATGGGAACCCCCCCCCCCACTTTAAAAGCACGGGCCTGTCAAAAACATAATAATGGCCCTTCAAAAGGCATAATAACGCCTTTTAGAAAGGCGTAGTAACGCCTTTTGGAAAGGCGTTATAACGCCTTTTTTCGCCTTATAACGCCTTTTGGAAAGGCGTAATTACGCCTTCATTTGCGTTATTACGCCTTTTTCCGCGTTATAACGCCTTTTCAAAAGGCGTTATTACGCCTTTTTTCGCGTTATAACGCCTTTTAAATTTTTTTTTTACCGTAGTTTGATCCTAATAGGCTTTCGTATCTTTCAAAACATTTAATAGGAGTAAACTGGTTCTCACAAATCAAAATTAAATTAAAATCAAAAGTAGTATTCAAGTTAACAAGAAAGCTACAGTATCTTGCAAAATTATATAATTAATATTAATTTTACTCTACTTAGAGTTTTCATTTTTCAAAGATAAAAGTTAAATCAAGATGCTGCTTAAGTACAAAACATTTCCACTGCATAACAAACGTTGTAGCTACGAAGCCTGTTATGTTCTCAACAAAGACAACTATTTCATCATCGTGACCCTCTGCTCCCAAGCACATGACCACATTGTATAGAAACAATAAATATTTAATAAGCAATGGTAAGGTAATAATATATATAAAAAAACCCTTAGATATTCAGACTTTCTAAAGGCACGCACATGTTCTTAACTAATACCTATCAGTTAAGTAATTTTTTTCCCATATCAGCCTTGTTCGCCCATTGATTTTGTGAAGTTTTCAAACTTTTGAATTTCATCTTGTGTAACAGTTTTTCTGTGAGTTTTCAATGCAGCCATAAAATCGTTCAACGTAACTTCCCGAGGACGTACCTGCAACAGAAAAATAAGTTATTCCTGTGACTGGTTCAAAAATGATAACAAAAATACTAGTAAAAATTACAATTTCGTACACTCTTTTATATGCAGTATACAAATTCTTTTCTAGAATTGACGCAGGCACATAGTATCCTGCCCCCCCCCCCCTCCCACTTTTTTTCCAAACATAAACTTTTAGTTTTACTATTGAAAATGTTCTTTGAAAGACTGGCCCCCTCCCGCCGATTTTTGGATGCTGTATAGTCAAATCAGGGTAATTAATGTATTAATAAAATTGAGTTTTCAAAGGAAGTGGAACCTCCCCCCCCCCCCCCCCCCCACCACCACCACCAAAACGATACTACGTGCCTGCGATGTGTTGTGTATAGAGATGAGACTGACCTTGTGAGCTGGAATGTCCACAATGGTGGCTTTTACATCTGGTTCTTCTCCGTCCTTGCACGGAACAAACTGATCATCTACCAAAAGCATATCAATAAATCATAATCAATTATACTCACTACATTTATCAATTTTACTCAAACACCATGATTTTATTTTTATTCAGTAGAATGTTGTTGCATTGATAGTCTAACGTCTATTACATGGAACAATTTATATAGTGAAAAATTGTCAACTGTCATATTCAAAGACAACTCCGAATAAATACAGTAGTAATTCCGCATTCATTCACAAAGAATAGACTATCATTTATTTAGACCTTTCTGTTTCCATTCCTTCGACGTTTGTAGCTCCCTGATTGGACAGAAGAGCGATTCTAAGGTCAGGTTAGCCAGGTCACTTCCGGAATACCCCTCTGTCTGAGCTCCCAACACTGTCCAGTCTTCGTCAGACATCACTACTTTGTTGTCTTTGGTGTGAATTTTCATCAAGTCAATTCTGGCTTCTCTAAAATAATAGAACCTCCCTAAATTTAATTTGAAAAAAAAGTATCCACGAGAGTATTGTAGGTAAAATACTTTTTTTTGATTTGAATTCAAAAAAGAAATGAATGCTGATTTTTTTTCTCTGCTAAAAATTTCTTTTATTGTGATTATCCTCACTTTTGATTAATCCCTTGATCCTTTCACGCAGATATTTTCTTTACATTAAGTACAATAATTTATAAGTTTCTTGAAAATATCCACAAAAAGTAAACAGTAAGCACTTGTCTGGAAGTGGTATGAATATTCTTCTCTGGAATCTCCTGAGGAAGGCGGAGTCCAGTTCCCAGGGGCAGTTGGTGGCACACAAGAGGAAGATTTGGTCATAGGTGTCAGCGTTATCCGCCCCCTCCATCTGCTTCAGTAGCTCAGTCTTGATCCGTCTCGTGTACTCCTCTTCCCTGGAGCTTCTCTGGCGACAGATGCTGTCTATCTCGTCGATAAAGACCACCTATATGAGCAGGGAAAATATAAACACAAATGTCTCACTGCAACCTAGGCTGAAAATTAATTTACACATAGAAAGTTTTGAAGTTTTATGACCCCATCAATAAAGACTATGGAAAATGTAAAGCATCACTGTTCTAACCCCCCCCCCCCCCAATAGACACAACAAGCTAGACTACATGTATTTCAAAATGTTCTGGACTGCCGTTTTAACACGTGTTTACCCTATCTAATTTCGTGGTTCCGTTTAATCCTAGCACTGATATCATCAGGTCTTGTGAATTGTAACTACAACGTCAATGTTCTTCGGTGGGTTTGTCATCTTGTATTTAAGCACTTGTTTTCTCTCCTCCCAGTGGAATTGGATGTACGTCCATAATGTATAAAACATACTGTATGAACATACAGAATGGACACGCATCCAGGTGTGTCCATACTGTATGTTTACATCTGAACACGAAGTTTTTATACAGGTGAGCTAAAAATTAAAAAGTAAATCAGCTTTGTTTTCTGATGTATGGTATATACACTGGCAAATTTATTGAGGGGGCACAACTGCAAGTTAGCCTTGTTTTCTTTAGCAAAGAATATACTGGCAAAATTATGCCCCCCTCCCCCTTCTTCACGGGCCTAATTCATTGCATTTACATAATAAAAGCTAGAACTGAATTTTATTCTTGGAAGTTTAGACAACTGCATGTGAGAACGCTGTCTTCTTACATTGAATGATACCCTCAGACCTGTCAATCATTCCAAGCATTGGATATAACCCCCACCCCCCCACCCCCGAAAAAATTCCATTACAGCATAGACTGGTACAACTAGACAACGATTAACTTTTTTTACCGGTAATAAATTAGTATTACAGCATAGACTGGTACAACTAGACAACAGTTTGACTTTTTTTTACCGGTAATAAATTAGTATTACAGCATAGACTGATACAACTAGACAACGGTTAACTTTTTTACCGGTAATAAATTAGTATTTTCGATCTCATTACCATACTTAACACAGGGCTGCATTACAATACCGAAAATTTATATATATATATATATATATATATATATATATATATATATATATATATATATATATATATATATATATATATATATATATATATATATAATAACTGGTCGGTTATCATTACCAAAAATTATTTTCTTTCATTTCCTTAAAGATAAAAAATATATTTCATTGCTGATGCTTCAAATTATCCTTTTCAAAGTCCTTTACCACTTACCGTGGTGAACAGAGGGCAACAAACTTGATAACAGATGATGCACTTTAGTGAGGTTTTCGGAAATATAATACATTCTAACGATTTTTTTAGTAATCATATGTAAAGATTTTCGGTATTGATATGAATTTTTTTTCGGTAATGCAATATTTATTTCGGTAATGCAAAACTGCAAATACGGGATAGTGGGGTACTGAAGTTAACAAAAGAAGAGCCTGTTGGGTTAAAAAAATATATATTTTCAACGCCTTTTTCAAAACGATTAGCAAATTTCTTTTAACCTAAATACTACTACTTTAAATCTAATGTGAAGTGGGAAACTATAATATTACAAAAATATAAAGTATTATTGTTTCTGTACATATACATATTTTCCAACATTTTTTAATTAAAACCTATAACGATGCTTGAATAAGCTTTTTCGATGCTTTGCTTGAAACAAAAGTATTTGCAAAATGCAAAATGGAATCTTGAATATTAAGCACTGAATCAAGTTTGTTGTAAATTGATTGTCAGTAAGACTTACTGATCGCCCGCTCTGCTTAGTTGCATGTTGGAATAATTCTTTTATCAACCTGTAAATATTAAGAAATATCAATGAGTCTGAAATCTTTCCGTGTATATGTACCAGTGTATAAGATAGTTCCAGAATGGCCTACCTAGCGTAGTTTGTTCAACTAACAACGATGTTGCAAAAACTACGCTATATAAATGAACAAAAACTTTCATTACTTATAGTCGGTATAATACCCAATTTTTAATCTACATCATCGAAGTTTTTTGTTAACCAAATTTAATTTCTTTTTTCAAAGATAAGTAAGACAGTGGGATTTGAAATTATTCCTTAAAACCTTCTTGTAACTACATTCATTGTAAAAATGTTTAACTATATACGTTTATTGCACATGAATACAGTCCATGATCCCCTATGATACTTTGAGGTGTGGATCTTACTTCTCACTCTCGCCGACCCAGCTGGACACCAGATCAGAACTAGACACACAGTAGAATGTAGACTTAATCTCAGAGGACACAGCTTGTGCGAGGCGGGATTTTCCTGTTCCCGGGGGTCCGTATAGTAAAATTCTTTTCCAAGGTTTGATGCTCCCTATGATAGAGGAAGAGAACTATCAGGAATATTACTAAAATCAAATACAATAGATATAAAAAATGGGGGGGGGGGGGGGGGTAGGCATTTTAAACAATACTAGAATTCAGTTACATGTATCTGCAAGATTGTTTTCGGTCATATATCTAGTATTTTTGCTTGTTTTAAATCTCATATGATTGCCACCAAACTCCATTAATTCTTTCGCAAATTGTTTTTCGGTCATACATGTACATGTGACTGCTTCTTTTAAATCTCATATGATTACCACACATGTGGTTGCTTCTTTTAAATCTCATATGATTACCACAGAACCCCATTTAGAAAACTATTGACTCTGTAAATCTGAATCATCAGCACAATATACATGTATCACTCAAAATGAACAAAAATCAAAACACATAACCCTACAAATTTGAAATATTTTTACTCATACAATTGCTTCATTTTGAAATTTATTTTTATTCTGTTAATAATAATATCTTCATTTGGATTATCAATAAAAAAAGATTTTGCCAAGACATTCTAGTTTTATTAACCTGTAGAAATAATCCAGCATTATTTTAAGGATACACGTGATATATTACCTGTAAACAGGTGAGGAAACAATAGAGGAATTATGATGGCTTCTCTTAGAGCTTCTTTAGCGTCATTTAGGCCAGCAATATCCTGGAATCTGATGCCTCCCTTTGTAATAATGGTGTCCTCGATAGCGCTTCTGCGCACTCTCTGCTGAGGGTCACCTACTTGTTATGAAACACTATCTCAGTTTCCATCTCTTTTTCTGATTATATCCGAGTGAACAGCAATTCATCATGGATTGAGACGGCCATAAATTTTGACGTACCTTGCGTAACTTGTATCTTTTTACCGTTAAGCTGTTCGATTTTTGCTTGTAAGATGTTTATTTGAGTTGCTAGGGTTTCTTCCAATTGAAGAACTAAATTCTAGAGATAAAAAGAAAAGAAAAAAAACAAGAGTATGTGAAACTACAGTAACAATTACAATATCTCAGGAGATTTGTTTAAACTTACTATACAACTATGTCAACTTTACCTTATAAAATGGATCCTCTTCCTTTTTAATGAGCTGCTGGACCAGAAAACGACACCTTGATATACACTGAAACATCACCTGGATGTCAACATTGGAGACCTTTCGTCCTTCAGCAAGAGTTCTCTCAAGACTAAAATAATGTTTGGTTTTTATTTTCAGTAATAAATGTTTTTCTATTTGTCTTCCAACTTCAGAATTTTATTTGCAAGAATTGATACTAGATTGTCTATAAGAAGGCAGTCCAGTTTTCTCTTTTGAAACCGATAATTCTTGAGAAAAAAGACCCCTACATTTTAAAGTCAGCTACTTATATTACTGTAAGTTAAGGTTCTAACAGTGACGGAGCTAATTAATTGACTGACAAGTTAAACAAAAAAAAAAGAAAGAAAGAAGGAAACATAATATTTAGTTAAAAAAAAACCCATAAAATAAAGCTACATAAATCTTGTATAAAAAAGGCAAGAAATTAATGAGCCGATTCACTTACTTGGATATTATTTCTGAAGAAGAAGAGAAAAACATATTGTAATACATATTTAAAGAGAAGACTTAGTAAGTTGTTAGAACTTGTTTCCAACCCTTTCATTCAATAAAATATGTATTAAAAAATAAAAATAAAAAAAAACCAAACAAACAAAAACAAATACACAAACAAAACAGTATTTTGATTCTCTGGCATGAACATGGCCTATGTAGACTAAATGAATTGTTGTTATATACAGTACATGTATGACAACGGACAGTAAGTGTAATCAAGCTCAAGAGTTCATTGAAATAATTACGAATGTGAGCATGCAGAGCAAACAAAGACGTCAGAGGTGGGATCAGGTGCCATGGAGGAGTAAGCATCCCCTGTCGACAGGTCACACCCGCCGTGTGCTAGTGAAAGCAATGGCCTAACTTTGTATATATGAAAAACGTCAGTCAACATTTGACTTGATAGTTTGTATTTGCAAAATGTTGACTTCAAACCATACTACTAATATCCTTGTGTCATCAACTCATTTGTCAATAGCTTACCTCGTGTAAGAAATTGTTCGTACGTAGAACATACTCTTGTGTACAGAATCAACTGGGAGATGTAAACTCCATATACAGGTAATAGCCTAATGGTAGGCCTATATTGCTACATAAATAAGGGAAATTGACAATAGATAAGTCATCACATTTATCATAAAGTTTAGTTGTTAGTTTGCCATCAGTGTATTTCTGCACAACGGTAAAATATCCAAATGTGAAACAAGTGTGTCAGACTCTTTGACGTCTTTCAAATTGATATATCGAATCAACGTAAGAATGAAATGTCAATGAATATTGTTAATTTATATTTTGGAAAATTTACAAAATGTATAAGGGGAAGACTATCTAGTTCTACGTTTTAGAACTTGTATCTAATCCTTTTGACTTTTTTGTCAATGAAATATGCCTAATGTCGAAAGACGTATTTCGCATTCAATTCGTCCAAAAGTTTAACCCCCCCCCCAAAAAAAAAGCATATGGTGCTTAGTTTCAAGAGTATACTCTTGAATTTCGATTCAATCAATGCTTCACAATTTTAATTTTTTTCTCTCGGTCGGACTGGTCTGGTCATATCTGCAAACTTCTTTTCACTAATTTTATCTTACAGTAGATCTATCTAGTCAGTAAATTATTTGGTTAGAAAGATAAGCACAAAAGGCTTATGCATGACAGCTAAAATATCTTTGGTAAAACTATCAGAATCCCTGCTTACCCAAATAGATAGCCGAAAAATCACCCATCTTTATTTTATTTTATCAGATCGGGCCTAGATGCGTCGTCTGCAGTTCGGAAAATCAAACAGGATGTAGCCTTCAAGAAGTAATTGTTGAATCGACTGAAGCCGGAATTTTAATCATTTTGGGAAGGAGGGGGGGGGGGGTGCTTAGTTTATTGTGTTCTTGCACACCTTTTCTAAAAACCTAGAAAAATAGTTGTATACATCAAACATGAATTTGATCCAATCCCATATTTTTTTTTTACATAAGTGTAAAGAAAAAACCCAAACCAAACCAAAATTTAACAAAAAGAAATGATTTCTAAACGAGAAAACCAATACCGTTTGAGTGTGGGAGAGGGGTGGGGGGTTAATGAACACTTCTTATATTCTCAAGGACAAGCCCTTTAAATCAACTGAGGTTTTCCTTCTATATGTCGGACTTCTTGTCAGTTTACAAGGGATTCCAATATCTTGGAAAAGGGGGTGGGAGGGTCCAACATAATTTGTAAATGTCACATACATGTTTATGAAATTAATTCCTGCAAACACAACATTTTACAGTAATCTTTTGAAGATAAGGAAATTTACTTTGAAGTGTTATTTTCTTAGGGAATAAGGGGGAAAAGGTGACAAAATAACGAACACGCAGTAAAAAAAAAATACCAAGGGGGGGGGGGGTTGTGGGGGGCCGTGCCCGCAATAATTTTGCTAATATATAGAATACTATCGAAAACAGCCACTGTATGCTTGTGTCCCCTCAATAATAATGTCTGGTGACCTTTTTTTTCTTTGCTTGTCAAGAAATTTTTGAATTTTCGGTAGTGCCCCCATCTGAAAAATTTGGTTGTGCCCCCCCCCCCCCCGACTGAAATGGCTTCCTACGGACTTGAATATAAATTTGTGAACAGTGCATGCATAAACACGGACCCCAGGAAATTCCAGAAGTGGAATCAGGTGCCTAAGAATGACAAAATGAGTCAGTAACGCACTAATGATCATCCAGACCACCTAACATGCATCACTTCGATATTAGTATCCGACAATGCAGTCCAACTCCCACTTATTCGCGCCGCCTTATTTGGTGATTTTATTATCGAAAGGGGCTGTCTAGTAGCTAAAGATCCATGTCTTGAGCTCTAAATCAATTCATGTTGACAGTAACGATACATTTACAAGAAAAAGTTTACTGATATCAAATAATGAGAGGACGCATGAAACATTTATCATTTTATCATTATATACGGTAATCTTTTAATCCCATCTCGGATTGACTTTGCTTTCTTGTCGTCCTGTAATAAATGGTCCCAACTTCTTCAAAGGCTTCGATAATGTTGCATATACCACACTAGATAAAGCTTATATCATAAATATGTCTGCTATCAATAGAAATATAACCATTTGCTTCAATACAATTTTGTATGGAATCCAGGGCCATGTAGTTAACTATCTAGGGCCATATAGTTAACTATCGCATCATTGCACCATCGAGGTTTGGGTCGATAGTGCGATGACACGATAATGCGATGACGATGAAGCGATGGTGTGATGACGATGAAAGCGCGATCGTACGGTGACAATGAAGCGATGTTCACTATCGCTCCATCGTGCTATCGCATCATCGTCATAGCATTGTCGCGCTATCGCATCATTGTTATCGCGATATCGCACTATCGTCAACGCGCCATTGCATTATCGCGCCATCGACCCTATGGTCGATGCTTGATGGTGCGAGTGAATTAAGTGGTCCTATCTGGATTCCATAGAATTAAGAAGTCAAAGGGAAAAAAATAAATTAATCAATGACAAAATTTATGGCATGTCAAACGTTGCAATATTCGATCTTTTCCATTTGTATTGTATAACTTTCCATTTGTATTGTATAACTTTCCATTTGTATTGTATAATTTTTATTTGTATTGTATAATTTTTCATTTGTATTGTATAATTTTCCATTTGTATTGTATAATTTTTATTTGTATTCTATAATTTTCCATTTGGATTTTATAATTTTCCATTTGGATTGTAAAATGTTTATTTGTATTCTATATTTTCCATTTGTGTTGTAAAAAAAATCATTTGTATTGTATAATTTTTCATTTGTATTCTATATTTTCCATTTGCATTGTAGAATTTCTTATTTGTATTGTATAATTTCTTATTTGTATGCGATAATTTTTCATTTGTATTGTATCCGAGGAATGTTTATTTATTTCGTTACGAAGGATGTCATTGGTCATAAAATTTAGTCTGTATAAAGGTCTCAGGTGCCCATCACAAACTTAGTCTGGTACCCTTCCCACAATTCCGATCGCGCACTCTCTACAAACACAAACTCGGCTCCTCTATTTGCGGTGCATGCTAAGGGACGACCATTTGATTCTCGGGGGGTGTCGAATCCGATTATTTATTTTCATTCTCTCGCAGGAGAGAATATTTATTTCCAATACTGTAAACCAACTTTTATTCGCGTGCGAGAAATATTCGCGAGTTTCGCGACCTACTTTCACTCGCGAATATTAATCGCCGCGAACCATTTATTTTGCTTTGTTTTTGTAGATAATTTTTCCTCAGTCGCGAAAATTAATCTCCGCGGATTGATTTCAAACTGACGAATCGCGAATAAAAGTTGACGCGAATAATAGTTGGTTTACAGTATGACCAGAGACAAGGAGAAAAACAAAGAGAAGAAAATCCGCCCAAACCCGAAAACTCAGTTTTTTGGGGGTGGGGGTAGTTACCACCACTCAAGGTCAATTTATTTATTTTCTCAGTCAGCATTTCTAAGAACAGATTATTTATTTGCCATCTACCAGCGCTCCCTTTTTAGAATCCAATGACCGTCTAACATGCACGCAAATACATATGCCGCCGAAATATGGCTGAAGTTGCCGACTCGGCGTTAAACAATAATCAATCAAGCAAGCAAGCAAATACATATGAGCCCAGTTTGCTTTGAGCATCCGGAACATCTTCAACCCGATACAGGCTGAAACTTGACCAATGAAATCCTTCGTAACGAAACAAATAAACAGTCCTCGGATACAATACAAATGAAAAATTATCGCATACAAATAAGAAATTTTACAATACAAATAAGAAATTATACAATGCAAATGGAAAATTATACAATACAAATAAAAATTATACAATACAAATGAAAATTATACAATACAAATAGAAAATTATAGAATACAAATAAAAATTATACAATACAAATGAAAAAATTATACAATACAAATAGAAAATTATACAATACAAATAAAAATTATACAATACAAATGGAAAATTATACAATGCAAATGGAAAAGATCGAATATTGCAACGTTTGACATGCCATAAAAATTTAATTCTCATATCATATGCACTTGGGTGAGGTTAAAATTTATATTTTTGACGTGGTCTGTCTTGTATTACTTCGAGATCATCAATTTTTTTTTTAAAAACTCATCATGATTTTTATCAAGAGTACACAACGAACATAACCTACTTATAAAGTTATCAATCACCTTTCATAATGCTTCATTAGAAATAAAATACTACAATATTTTATCTGTTCAAACGCAAAGATTTTTAAGTTTTGTTTCCTAAAAAAAAGATTTAAATTTTAACCATTTTTTTTTATATAATGTAAAGCAAAAAGCATTTACAGACAATCCAATTTAACTTGAATTTATTTAATGAAAAAGTAAAGTCCTTTACTGTTATTTCCATAATTGCACTAGTGAAATGGCAGCATCTTTTGTGTAAGAACACGTGGTTTGTTTGTTTACAGTCAGTAAGCTATAAAATCTCCCCTCCACAAGTCCAGAGTGACGGAGACTATTATCAGGCGATGATGGAGGTAACGGCCAAGAATATCCTCATCACCTTAACGCTTTCTGTCATTGTGTTAGTCACCATTGTGGGAAACCTTCTGGTCATGCTCTCATTTGCATTAGATTCCAGACTTAGGCAGCCTTTCAATTACTTTATTTTTAATCTTGCAGTAACGGACTTTTTGGTGGCACTTTTCGCTATGTCATTCTACACGATAGATACACTTCTGGGCTACTGGCCGTTTGGGACTATTATTTGTGGTTTCTGGATCTACATTGACTACGCTATGACTTTTGCCAGTGTTTTTACAATCGTCGCCATCTCTTTAGATCGGTTTTGGTCTGTCACATGGGCGATGCAGTATAAAAATATGAATGGAAAGAAAAAGAATATCATCATACTGACCATTGTGTGGTAAGTATTCGATCCTGGTGTTAACATACAAAATTTGTTCATTCTTTATAAAAGTTGTAAGAATAATGTATGTTTAAAAAAAGCATCTACATAACGCTTACATTTTCATTCTTTCAAAAACAAATTATACACTTAAATGTGAACAGAACCTCTTACCGTACATAAACTATCCCATCCGAATGATACAACAGCGTTTTTGTTCAGAAACGGTAAGTTCCTTGGTCGACTTATAATCAGAGAATATGGTGGAAAGTCTGTAATTCAGTTTTTTTTACTAAAACTTCTGTGGAACTACTAGATTATACTAGTTTTACTTACTATTTGGCAGATTATAATAGATATAGTCAAACATTGTTGTGAATTTATGTATTTTTAATTTGGTAACAAAGCAAAACTTGTACATTTCTCTATGATTACTCTTCAAGTTGAAATCGGGTTATCCGTCGATAGACCAACAACACATGATTAAGCCCTATGATTAAGGACATACGCAACGTACCTAACCTACTGAAAATTTTGCAAGATATTCTTAATTTAAGATTATAGTGCCATCTAGATCTTCGTAAACAAAAAAATCAGAATGCATTACCAGGGGTTTTGAAAAGATATCAGTTGATGAAAATTCGTGTAAAATTCAAAGAAAAATATACAAAAATTACTACACATACTGTATATTCTAGATGTGTTGTTTATCCAAACTTGTTTTAGAAGTGTACAACAACATATATAGACATTAAAATGTAGCACACAGTTCCTTTAAGTATTGGAACTCTTCATCTCCAGGGAAAAAGACAATAAAGTTCAAACTACTTTGCGTATGTCCTTAAAAAAAAAAGACAGGTTATAGTTATATTAAGCAATGGTTTTATTTTTCATTATTAAGCAATAATGTAAAGATAAGGAATACATGCATATCTGATTTTGGGGGTTTGTTGGGATAAGGTTGTAATAGCACATAACACATGTAATTCCTGCATGAATCTGTATAGGAACCCTCACATACTCCAATCGACTTATACTAAATAATCCCCTAAAACAATAAAGAAACATGCATTGTTCCTTGAATTTTATTTTTTTTTCTTACTTTGAATTCAATGAAATGTGAAAAACCCATTTTTATGACAATAATTCTAACGATGTAAAGATAACCTTTAAGCATTGTATCTTTTAATTAAGTCGCTATATGTATTACGTCACTGTATAGTTAAAATGTTGGGATAGATTACCATCTCAATTTTCTCAGACCAGTGAGCTTAAAGCATATTTTTCTGAATATCGAATTTTTAAGGGCATTATATATTCCTTCTTTCAGAATAATAATCAAAATTTTGCTATTAAATAGTTATTTTTATTTATTGACTAATCACTATATTTTTGCACACTTCTAGGGTTTGTGTGTTCATCATTTGGACACCACCTTTTATCGGTGACCGTCTTAAGCATCAAGAAGTCAATAAGTGCATCTGGGAGCCGTCCGATAACCGCGAGTTCATCATCGTTGTCGATATCATCGGACACTACATTCCTTGCCTGTTGATCGTCGTTGCTTACCTGAAAGTTTACCTGGTGATGAGGAAGCGGTCCAAAAAAGTAGGTCATAAAAGCAGCGGACCCACCACCATAATCGTCAAACCAAGCACTCACTTAACGGTTGATTGCACCACAAGAGACCGATCTTCATTAAACGAAGCCACGGTTTCCATTATCTCCACCACACCACCGCCGTCCACTCAGACTTTGTCTACGTCTTCAGATAAACCGGTAGCAGTGAAATCCAGTAACCAAGGTAACAGAGAACACAGGATTTTCCGAACTTTGACCTATGTGATAGCTAGTTACTTGATTTGCTGGTTCCCGTTTTACGTGGCGTGGGATATTTATGCATGGAAACCCTCTCTTGTTCCTGATTGGCTGTACACGTTCTTCTTTTGGATGACCTACATTAATTCTACACTAAATCCTGTTCTTTATGCTTACTCCAATAAGGATTTTCTAAGGGCTTTCAAAACTGTTACAAAATGTTCATTTAATCACAACAAATATTGAAATAAGACATTTCACCGAGTTAATTGCCTTTTTTTAGTATTTTCTTGCAAATAAAACAAATGCATGGTCAGGAATTTGATTAGAGGTAGGGGGTGTGGGGGGTGTAAGTCCACATGCTCATAATCTGACAATTCATTTATACGATATATCTATATTATATGTTGTCTCATTCGGATATTAGAATATCGCCTCATTATGATTGTTTAATCAAGTGACATGATCCGCCATTTTGTATAATTTTGACATCATTGGAAATAAAAAAATATGGCCCATGTTAAATTCACTCGCTGACGAAAAATACCAATATCAGCTGATATATCGAGATACCTGCATTACCTTTATAAGCATGTTGGTGAACAAAGATTTCAGGAATATCTATCATGGACAGACATCAGATACCTTTATTTGACACCATTGCAGCATATGGGTAAAACTTGATGGACGATCACGCTCTTGTATTGTTTGAAACCTGTTTTAAGTAGTATTCAAATTTTAAAGTTTTCCATTCGAATACGGTTAGGACTGGTTATGACTTTCAGAGGTCGCCGAACTCCATTTATTCAATTGTTTTCCCATGAGATCCGAGATAATTAAAATTTCTTACATTCGGAATTGCCATAACGTAGGCTAAGAGAAATCATATACTTATCTTTCCATATAATTTTTTATGGAGCTTGTCAGTTGTCACTTTACACATATTTATGGGAATTTACTTCGCTTTTTGTGTCTTTGTTCAAATCATGTTGTACGATATTGTTATATATAGAGGTAGGATCGGATAGGGGGAAATGAATTCCTCTCTGGATTTGGTTTCATGCATATTTCATTCTCCATGAAAATAATCGCTTATGAAAATTACGCATTTGAAATGACAGTATCTTCCTGGATAATTCATACATTATCAAGCAACTACACGGATCAAACACTTTCATCCAACATCAATATAGTTATTGTAAAGCTACAAGTTTTTAAATTTCAACTTCATTAGCTCCCCTCGCTACAACTTCCATAAGGGCTACGAGTCCCTTGTTGTAAAAGAATTTTACAGACTTTGAAATGTCCGCGGCTTCCGAAGATTATTCCAAATGAAAAACATAGGTAATCAAAGATTACGAAGCTCACCTCGACGAATGTTATCTATAAGTAAGGCAAATTTCACATAAATTATTTATAATTACATGAAAATAGACCTGCTCAAATATAGTTACTTCAAAATAGACCTGCTCAATAAACTTTTAAGCTATTTAGTAATCAAGAAAATTGTGGTGAGTTCCAACATCCAAAGCAAGTCTGGAAGTTTTCATCCTTAAATGCACCATCTATGCAAGTCTAATCATAAAAGGCCATAATATTATAAAGCTTCTCCAAAAAAATTACCCTGGTCACTCATCTGGAAAATGTAGGTCAGATTCAGAATCCAAAGCAAGTGTGGTAGTGTCCATCCCTAGATACATCATCCATGCTAATTTGGTTAAATATAGCAAAAATTCACTCATGTGGAAAATCTAGGTCGGATCCAGCATCCGAAGCAGGTTGGTTAGTGTACATCCCTAGATGCATCATGAAAGTTTGATCCAGGCAAGACATATAGTTACTTGGGAACGGACCTGCTCCAAAATCTAAACCTGGTCTTACATGTGGAAAATCTAGCTCAGATCCAGCATCCGAAGCAAGTGTGGTAATGCCCATCCCTGGATGCATCATCCATGCAAGTTTGGTCAAGGTAGGGCTTATAGTTACCTGGGAATGGACCTGCTCCACAAACTTTAACCTAGTCACTCATCTGGAAAATCAATTCAAATCCAGCATCCGAAGCAAGCTATATTCTATCTATTGCTTAGGATGCTGGATTTGACCTAGATTTTCCAGATGAGTGACCAGGTTAAAGTTTTTGGAGCAATTTCATTCCCAAGTAACTATTAGCACAGGAGTTCGCAATTTTATCAATAAAGTCAATAAAAATCACTCGATTGACCAAGCCATGAGCTATGCGTTAGCATAGCGAACGCATAGCTCATGGCTTGGTCAATCGAGTGATTTTTATTGACTTTATTGATAAAATTGCGAACTCCTGTGCTATTAGCCCTACCTTGACCAAACTTGCATGGATGATGCATCCCGGGTTGGACATTACCATGCTTACCATTCTAGATAGAATGTTCTTTCGTTAAAATGATAAATGTCCTACGGACCCGGTTTAACGATAGAATGCGTTCCGTGTATTGTCTATGTAGCAAAGAAAATACGGGAGATAACTCTAACTTAGTGCATTTACTATGAAAAATCCCGAGAGTTGAACACCATGTCAACATGGTGTGTAAATTTGAAACGAGTAAAAAACTTCGGTGAAAAAGTGTTGAATTCTTCATTTATATGGATTAAATTTTTAGATGAAAGGTGTTTAAGTCTCAGAAAGGTTTGTTATGATTAATTTGACTGTTATTTTCAATGCAACTTCGTCAATTTTCTCCAAAAATCGTTTCGGAGCGATTCTGCAATTTTCTGCTACATTACGGGTATATGGGAGGCATTCTAACTGTGGTGAGGGCCTGTCCCGAGACACCGTTAGATTATTCTAACTACCTAAGCAAGTGTGGTAGTTTCCATCCCTAGATGCATCATACATGCAAGATTGGTCCAAGTCGGGCTTATAGTTACTTGGGAATGGACCTGCTCCAAAAACTTCTGGTCACTCATCTGGAAAATCAAGGTCAGATCCAGCATTCGAAGCAAGTGTGGTAGTGTCCATCCCTAGATGCATCATGCATGCAAGTTTGATCCAGGTAGGGCTTATAGTTACTTGGGAATGGACCTGCTCCACAAAACTTTAACCTGGTCACTCAACTGGAAAATCTAGGTCAAATCCAGCATCCGAAGCAAGTATGATAGTGTCCATCCCTAGATGCATCATCCATGCAAGTTTGGTCCAGGTAGGGCTTATAGTTACTTGGGAATGGGACTTGCTCCTAAAACTTTAACCCGGACGCCGACGCCGGGGGTATAGCATAAGCTCATCTCAACTTCGTCGAGGTGAGCTAAAAATTAGTCTGTCAGAAATAATACACAATCCAATTATCACTCAATACCATCACACGGTATTTATTAACATCAGAGGACGTGCATTTCTTTTGAACCTGCAACACTAACACAGATCAATTAATTAGCAGTAACGTTCAAAAGACCATATGACTAAGACACTTTGAAATCTTTTCAGACTTTATTGATTCATGAAAACATGAATTTCTAAGTGACACTGCGATATGAGGATTTCAGATGCTAAATATATAGGGAAGTCCTGAGATCAACATAAAACATCAGATCTAACACATAGGGACAACAACAGACAAAGCTAAAACACAGCAGTACAGCTGATGGCTGCAGGAAAGCAGATGGTGGACAATTCAAATAGACAATTAACATAATAATACAGATACTGGAACTGAATGATATATAGCACCTAAAAATTACAAAGTGAATTAACCCCCCCCCCCCCCAACCTGCCCCGGGGAAAAAGAATCCAAAGGCTTAGGTCACTGAATTTGCTTAAGAGCCCCCCCAAAAAACAAAAAAAACAATGGATTCTCAAACAGCTATAAAAATTATTAAACATTTTCTTTTTAAAAGGAATTTGCCAAATAAATGTATGAGGTTTGTCTGTGTATTTTTTTTTACAATAACATTTCAAAAATATTAAGTGTGCCTGTATCATCATTTTCAAATAATTTCCCTTGCTGAAAATCTATAGAAATGAAAACAAATGTTAGTGCTTAAAATCACATGACAGGGACAAGGGCTGTAATTGCAGTCCATCATGTATATTTCATTGTAAATTGTTAAAAAAAATAAATAAAAATATATTTTCTATCAAACATACAAAAAAAAAATTATTTTCATTCTACTGTACCTCTTCAACCTATAAATTACGTTCTTGAAATTTGTTAGAGTTATATCCCTTGTCCCTCTTACTATTTCTGCTCTCTTTTGCAGAAAATTTCTGAAAAAGGGAACTTATTCAAAAATGGCTTACTTTAGACAACTAACTAATATAGATTTGCATTTATATGACAAGCGATCATAGGGGGAAAAATAATAGCATGTAATGCCTCTAAAACTAGATAATGCATCATTATGGACCACATGGAGCAGCAAAATTAATGGTGATAAATGTTAACAATGAAAAGCTTTGCCCTTCAGTCTCAGGATGAAGTAAAAAATATGTAACTTGTAACAAGCTCTATATGATCTTAATTTTACAAAAAGAATGAATGGTACATGGTCTAATATTTATATAGATAAAAAAACAATTGTATTTACATATATGTTACATTATTTACAATATACATATAAGTAGTAAAATCTTGAGCACCTCTTCTATATGCAAAAAAAAAAAGTGCACTATACAATTTTTAAAATACACATTAAAACATGATCAACTTTTTCATGTGATAATATGCACATAGCAGTCAATGCATTGGTAAAGCTTGTTTGTACAATTACATGATCCATTGAGGAACAAAGTAAACGGCATAAAAAATCCCCTCAGAAATATGTATGAAACATATTTCCAAGATTCCTTCCTTGTACAGGTGTGTTCTAGTCAATTTCAACAAATATGCTAAACTTTAATAGTTTAAGTTACATGTAAGTATTAAAAAAATGAAAACTATACAAATTATGAAAACAGCAAGATGAACTTAATTTAAAAGTGCACAGATGCAATTCAAAATACAAGAGGTTTATCTGTAACACTCGTAAATGAAGTCAATAACTATATCTTAACTAAGTGTAGAACAAATACTGTTTACATACTTAAACTGGCAAAATAGATAATTAATATATTGTCAACCTAATCATGATTGAGCAATCTTAAATCAGTGCAAAATGGAAAACTGAAACTTCTGAAGATGGGGAAAAATCATCAGATCAAAGCCATTGCAGAAAGCACTGAAATAAAATCACTGCAAAATTAAGTACATCATAAATTTACACAAAAAAAGGTAAAAATGCAATCACAACCCTAGAGGCAGTTATATTAAAAGATGACTACAAATGTATGATTTGATGATTGCACACAGAAAGAAAGAGCACAGTACATTTCTTCAGTTAATTAGCTGATTAAATGCAACAATTGAAAAAGTAGGACTACATATTAATTTTCTTTGCTTTCAATATCATACTGGAAAAGAGCCCAAAGTGAATCCATGATTACACTGTTAATCTGAAATTAAAGCTGTTGTATCATGTAGGACTAAACAGCAGCAGTTGTAACCTCTCCATTTGGATATTATGTCCTCCTTGGTAGGAACCTCTACTGAGCATGCTCTGTTTGTACACTGTAACCTCTACTGAGCATGCTCTGTACACTGTAACCTCTACTGAGCATGCTCTGTACACTGTAACAGCAGCCTCTGTTTGGATAAGTGGTTCTCCTAAACAGTCTATCACTCATCAAGGAAGACATTTACGTGACACAAGAGAAAATCAGCTTCTTATGCCTTAAAACACCTACAAACAAGAAAAAATGATAATCATCACAGACTGATTTTATGTAAGCATAGATCTCTTCTAAAGATTATCTCAGCCTACACTTTTCTTTTCTATACATCAAACCTGATACACAGATCTAATTTTCACTTAGTTTTATAAAAAGATAAATGCTGAATTTATGATTATTTTGCTCACAAAACTGCAGAACTTGAATTTTTTTCTGTAATACAGTAATTTGCTTTTTTTCATGAGGGAAAGGTGAGGGGTTTCTTTTATTATCTTTACTCTTAATTATTAATGGTAGAGATCATCTACTGAAACAAAATGGCATATGGAAAAATGTTTGAAGTATTGTTCAAGATGAGAAAGTCTGCAGTTTCAAACCTGACCATTAAAGAAACCTTCAATTATTGTCACAAACATAACATTTTCCTATGAAAATAGAAGTACTGACTTACTTGACAATGTCGGCTATGTCTGACACCCCCTCCTCCTCTTGGTCACCTTGGAAACCTGATCCATATTCCTGTTCCATCTGTGGGGGATCAGTTTTGCTGTCCTCAGAATTAGAAGCTCCCTCCTCCATATTCTCAGAGAATGAGGACATCCCAGATTTTTGGTTTTTCTCTAACAGATTATCTATCATAAAACCACGTCCTCCACTCAAGGGTTGAGCAACTTGACTGGGATGCATTATTGGGTTTTGATGAGGCGAGGTCATCATAGCTGGGTTCATACTAGAGTAACTTGGATCCTGCAGAGAAGAGTGGACTGATGGTGGATGTCCATTGATACCAAAGTGTTCTCTGTTATAATGATAACCTGGATAGGGCATTGGTGCTCTCATAGGGTGTCCTTGTGACATCATGGTCATGCCTCTAGAATCCATCATTCTAGGAGGCATCATGCCTGGATGAATTGGTCTTTGACCCATGTCGCTGAACTGCGGTGGCATAGGATGCTGACCTATCTGGCTTGAAGGTGGAACCATCGGTCTTGAGCCCATATCTGGTGCATGAGGTCTATGACCAATCTCTGAAACAGGTGGTCTTTGACCCATTAAACCTATGGGTGGCCTTTGACTAGATGGCCTATTACAAACTTCAATTTCTCCTGCCTGTTTGCTGCTGCCTTCACTTTTTGGGGTTTTTTGTACTATATTACTTGCTGGGTTTGGATTAGTTTCATCTCCAGGCCCTTTATCACTGTCTATTGATTTTCTACTTTTTTCACTATCTTGTATTCTTTGACTTGCTTCAGTCGATGATGTCTTTGAATCAGGAGGTCTGCTGCCAAAATCACTTGGGGGAACATGGCCAACTGGAAGCCTTTGGTTTGCTTCATTTCTACTAACATATGGCGGGGGCTTCGACCTGTTTTCATTTCCTGGCATCATGGGTCTATGTGGTACCCCTTCCGGACCACCAGGTGGCATCATTGGTCTTTGCATGCCTTCAGAGACACCTGCTGGATGCATCTGTCTCTGATCCATTTCCCCTGTGTGTGGAGCAGGGAAGGGAAGTTTTGGAGGATCTACTTGAGGAGAAGACCCTGGAGATTTAGAGGAATCATCATTTTCTACTGGTGCATCCTTTTTCTTTTTTGTTTTGCTGCCTTTAGGTCTGCCTCGCTTAGATTTGGCCTTTGGAGTTTCTGATGATGGTGGTGTTGTGCCTTGATTAGGGCTGTTAAAGGGTGGAGTTTGCCCTGGATAAGCAGGTGGCATTCCCTGACCTGGCATATTGAATCCAACGCCTTGAGAACCAGAAGAAGGTATATTTTGTATGGGCAAATTTGGAGGTATACGCTGTCCTTGAGTATTTGGCAGCATACCCGTGTTTTGACTTGCAGTAGTTGGGGGCATACCATGAGGCTGTTGCTGTGTTTGGGGCATACTATGTCTTGCCATTCCCATATTCATGGAATTTGGAGGGACACCTTGTCTTGGCATTTGCTGTGGTTGACTCTGATACCCAGGTGCAACCATCTGTCCAAGTGATGTCAAAGGTCCACCTGGTGAAGAACTAACAGGTTCCATTTGTCCTGGGACTTCCATCCTAGACTGCATAGGACCATGCATTCTCATTTGATTTTGAAAGTTCGTAGCCTGGGATCCTGGTGGAACATTTCCAATGTTGGATCCATACTGTGGATATGAGTTTGAGCTATTCATCATCCTTGGATGTGGTCCTCTGAAATCCATAGGCATTCTATTCTGATTCATCCTCAGATCAAATGGCATCTGAGTGGGCTGGGAGGATGGAACAGGAGGAGAACCTATAGGGAAGCGCTGTGGGTCACCAGAACGAAGTCCCATCTGATTGGAGGGGAAGGGCATGCGTTGATTCATCTGATTGTGGGGTGGGGCTTGATTGTGTGGTGGACTGGTCATCTGATGTGGTGGACTAACCATTCTGTTCTGGAATGGAGGGGGACTTGACATCCCCTGGGATGGACTTGATATGTGTCTCTGATTGTGGATATGTGGATGACTGGGGGGATTATTGGGTACATGAGGGGGGCTTTTCAATGGACCAGGCTGAGGATGAAAACTAGGTCTTTCCATTCCTGGGTAAGGTGGCCTTTGGTTTGGAAATTGCTGTCCAGGTGGCTGAAAGCCAACATTGTGTTGGACTTGAGGTATATTTGGAAAGTTTGGAAACATGTTTTCCTGTTGAGGGGGCATATTTGGAGTAATGCCTTGATCCTCAAATCCCCTATTCACAGGAACACTTGAATGTTCACTAGTTACTGTAAGGGGAACATTTGGATGAGAGAGTGTTGTTTCTTGAGTTTTCCCCATGCCTGCATTTTCAGTTTGTTCATTGTTGTTAGATGATTTTACAACAGAACTGTCCATAGAAGTTTCATCAACTTTATCATCACCCTTGTCATCTGGTTTTGGATCCTCGGTTTTATCGTCTGCTACACTTTTAACCTCTTTGCTTTCCTTTTCCTCAGGCTCGTATTCATCCGTTCCTGAAGATTCATCTCGGATGACATTCTTCTTCTTCTTCACAACCTCCTCATTTTCACTTTCTGATCCTGTCTCATCACTGACATCACTCTCACTGCTGGAAATCTTCTTCTTCTTCTTGCTGCTTTTCCCTCCATCTTCACTTTCAGTTTCAGACAACATAAGTGATTTGAAGTCAATTTTCTTCACATTCCTTCGTGACCTCCTCTTGTGGTCATCCTCTGAATCACTTTCACTTTCTTCTACTTTCTTTTTTGTCTTTTTCTTTGAGGACTTGGATTTCTTTTTTGTAAGAGATTCATCACTTTCCTCCTCAGTCTCAGAATTACTTTCGATTTTCTTTTTCTTTTTTGCGATTTCATTCTTTTGTTTCCCTTTTTTGTTTTTAGTGTCACTGTCCTCTGAACACAGATCTGCGCTATCGAAGCTCTCCTCTGTCTCTTCCTCTGTTTCCTCTTCCTCCTCGCTGGACGGGTCCCTGTAGGTCGCCCTCTTCCGAACTGACCTCCGGGCTGTCCGTCTGTTATCCTCGCTGTCCTCATCTTCATCAACAACTACAATTGTAAAGTGAGGTTTGATATCATTCAGAAGATTAAATAAGTATTAATGTTTAATTTTAAATACTGTATACAAGGAAATTTTCGCCCCTTTCACCCTCGCAAATTTGGAGCGAATTTATAACGGTAAATTCAAAGAAAATGGCATTATCTCTTAAACAGAAATGTGTCTGGGTGAATTCAAAATGGGGCAAAATTGTTTGCAGGTGTAAAAGGGCGAAAAATAAGATGGGGTGAAAATAACCTTCTATACAGTATAACTATGTACATGTATGGCTTTGGTTCTGGGTCAGTAGAGGGTGTGTAGAGACTCTCTCTAATAAAAGTTAACGTGCACAAGATGAAGGTCATATATATTTTAAAAAAATCTCTAGGCCATAACTTAGTTAAGGTCTCTCTGTAACCTTGACCTTGTCAATATGAATTACAGTGTCATAATAAGCCCTCAAATTATAATTAACTTTTGTTAATGACATTCTTATATTTCTCTAATATATCTATGCCTACATGCATATAGCTTCTATATAATCAAATATTACAAAGCTCACATTTACAAATGTTAGCTATAAGAAATCCAAAGTCTCACACCAAACAAGTGTCTTGATAATGGACCTGCTCCAAAAACTTTAACTGTTAAATCACCCTGTAAAGGTAGGTCAGATTCAGCATTCAAAGCATATCTAGTACTGTACATCCCAAGTAACATGCATCATCAATACAATATCAGTCACCATAAAGCTTATAGTTACTTAAGAATGGACTGGCTCTTAAACTTTAAACTATTCATTCACATGGCTCAAGTAGATCAGATCCAGCATCTGAAGCAAGTCTGCAGTGTAGGCTTATAGTTAACCTAGGCAGGAACATGCCTCAATAAATTTAGGTCAGATCCAGCATCCAAAGCAATTCTGGTAATGTGAATCACTAAATGCATCACCCATGCTAGCTTGGTTCAGGTAGGGCTTGTAAATTAGGAATGAATCTGCTCTGAAAACTACAACCTGTACACTCATCCAAAAAATGTAGATCAGATCCAGCATCTGAAACAAGTCTTGAGGTGTGCATCCCTCTTTTCCTCCTTTCATGCAACTTTCGTCCAGGTAAGGCTTAAAGTTATCTGTATTTGGGAATGAACCTGCTCTAAAATCTTTAACCTGTTCACTTATTCAAAAAATTATGGTCAGTTCCAGCATCCAAATCTAGTCTGGTACTTTGCATCCCTAGATGAATCATCAATGTATGTTTGGTTACCATAGGGCTTATAGTTACTTGGGGATGAACCTGCTCCAGAAACTTTAACCTTTCCACTCATCAAAATGTAGGTCAGATCCACCATCCAAAGCTAGTCTGGTAATGTGCATCCTTATATGCATCATCAATGCAAGTTCAGTTACCTTGGGGCTTTAAACTTAACTTGCTCCAAAAATTTTAAACTGGTTTCTCATGTGCGAAATGTTGGTAAGACCCTACATATGAAGCAAGTCAGGTAATGTACATCCCATGATGCATGATCCATGCAAGTTCGGTCCAGGTAGGGTTTATAGTTACTTGGGAATAAGACCTGCTTCTAAAACTTTAACCAGGATGCCAACACCGATGCCAAGGCTGTGGGTATAGCATAAGCTGATCTCAACTTCATCAAAGTGAGCTTAAAAGAAATGATAAATCACTTACCAAAGTCTTTGAAGATGGAATGGCGGCCTCTTTTCCGTGAACTTCTCCTGGTGGGTTTTCCGTACCTGGATGACCTTCGACATGACCTCCAGCCTTCACCGTCTTCACTGTAATCCGACACTTCATCTTCATCATCTTCGCTGTCTTCCTGCTCCTCCTCTGGGACTTCAGACACTGTCTCACTGTTACCATAGAAATCAATCAATAATAAAATCCTGTCTTATCATCATCAACATATGACAGCACATCAATAGTTTCTGGACAGGTATTTCTAATAATTTTCTGAATAACCTTGACTTTCTAATTCATATTAACAAAATATGACATCCCTCACAAGATTTTCATCCTTTTGTTCCAGTGGTTGTTAGAATTTTTTTCAGTTGAATGATGCAAGCTTTTCTTGACTACATTGTACATTGATATTTCTAATTACATACCCCTAATAGGGCATATGGCCCCATAAACTATCCTAAGATGTTCTCAGATAGACTGAAATTGTTCTAAAGATTTTAGATGGGAATCAAACAAGAAAAAGGACCATAAATATCAACAACACAAAAACAACAGGTCAATGAGTCATTAAAATGATAACAAATACAGTAAATACTTCTCAAAACCTGCCAACTGCCGCACTGAAGGAGATGGCTGGATTACAGGGGTGGCCGCTTTACGGAGAACTTAGTATGTAGAGATAGCTTATTATGAGAAATGTTTGAAATTACATACAAGAAGTATTTATGTACAATTTTAGTTCAAGCTGTTAATAAAAAGGACACACACATCTTCATATCAAAACTATTTTTAAGCGTCTCTGATTGGTCATTATGATTCCCTCTGCCCATACTTCCTTGTTACAGTATAAAGAAGTGGCCAGAATACTGAGGTGATATACTTCCTAGTTACAGTATAAAGAGGTGGCCAGTATACTGAGGTGATATTACCTCTGACCATACTTCCTTGTTACAGTATAAAGAGGTGGCCAGTATACTGAGGTGATATACTTCCTTGTTACAGTACGCAGCTAGGTTAAGGACTCCCATATATACGTCAGCCTATGCAGAGGTTTCGGTAAAGCTATTATGACGTCACGTTAAAACAATACAAATGAATCTCAATGAATAAATACGATATGTTCTTTTTAAAATACACTAAATACTTTCGTTTATCATAAATATTATAAAGATAAATGGATGTGCAACTTATCTTGCCATAATATCACTAAGCGTGTGTAGAATGAAAGCCAGCTTGATCTCGCTGTACTTACTGAGATGACGTCATTTCTTAGTTTGACACGCAGTTTCTCTGTACTTGAGGCGTGGATCAAGCTTTTATCGTGGCTTGTAAAAATACAAATAAATACGAAACACGCATAGTTGGACCAAAAGAGCGACAAATTCTGAAATATATTAATCCACATTTTATTGTCAAACTAAATTGATAATGTGTAGACTTTATATAAAGCCGTAGGGAGCTCATTTGTACAGTAACGTGCCAGAATGACAGGTCCAGCCCCTCGAAAATATCAAAAGTTCAACGATATCCGCTTCACTATAAATTCTGAATTTTTAAACAGGTGTAGCTATTATTCCAACTATTCTGAAAAGTGCTGGGAGCTGGTTGTGCATTGTTGATTTATTCCGTAATGTAACATTATTCCAATGCGAATTACATTCTTGACTGGAGTTTCTAGAAAGACGGCTAAATTTTAAGCAATTCCCGAGCATGAGGAAGTTGCTCCCAGCACTTTTCGTGTTAAGGAATTTGTCTCAAAGAAAACAGAATAAATTTTATAGCGGAAAAATGCCCGTATATCGTTGAACTTTTACGATCTTTGTAGTAGTACATATATGTTCTAATTTTAAAACTGTCACGTGACAAACAGCTGGTGTAAGCGATGTCGCTTTGGCCGAACTCAGCAGAGACCCGATATATACCAGTTCAAACACCACAAATCACATTTATCAAAACTAATGCTGTTAAAAAAAATATTAAAATTGTATTCCTTTTCCCTGAATATATTAAGGCGTATATTTCATGGGCGTCCTTAACTTAGCTGCGTATAAAGAGGTGGCCAGTATACTGAGGTGATATACTTCCTTGTTACAGTATAAAGAGGTGGCCAGTATACTGAGGTGATATACTTCCTTGTTACAGTATAAAGAGATGGCCAGTATACTGAGGTGATATACTTCCTTGTTACAGTATAAATAGGTGGCCAGTATACTGAGGTGATATTACCTCTGTCCATACTTCCTTGTTACAGTATAAAGAGGTGGCCAGTATACTGAGGTGATATACTTCCTTGTTACAGTATAAAGAGGTGGCCAGTATACTGAGGTGATATACTTCCTTGTTACAGTATAAAGAGGTGGCCAGTATACTGAGGTGATATTACCTCTGTCCATACTTCCTTGTTACAGTATAAAGAGGTGGCCAGTATACTGAGGTGATATACTTCCTTGTTACAGTATAAAGAGGTGGCCAGTATACTGAGGTGATATACTTCCTTGTTACAGTATAAAGAGGTGGCCAGTATACTGAGGTGATATACTTCCTAGTTACAGTATAAAGAGATGGCCAGTATACTGAGGTGATATTACCTCTGACCATACTTCCTAGTTACAGTATAAAGAGGTGGCCAGTATACTGAGGTGATATTACCTCTGTCCATACTTCCTTGTTACAGTATAAAGAGGTGGCCAGTATACTGAGGTGATATTACCTCTGTCCATACTTCCTTGTTACAGTATAAAGAGGTGGCCAGTATACTGAGGTGATATTACCTCTGTCCATACTTCCTTGTTACAGTATAAAGAGATGGCCAGTATACTGAGGTGATATTACCTCTGTCCATACTTCCTTGTTACAGTATAAAGAGGTGGTCAGTATACTGAGGTGATATTACCTCTGTCCATACTTCCTTGTTACAGTATAAAGAGATGGCCAGTATACTGAGGTGATATTACCTCTGTCCATACTTCCTTGTTACAGTATAAAGAGGTGGCCAGTATACTGAGGTGATATTACCTCTGTCCATACTTCCTTGTTACAGTATAAAGAGGTGGCCAGTATACTGAGGTGATATTACCTCTGTCCATACTTCCTTGTTACAGTATAAAGAGGTGGCCAGTATACTGAGGTGATATTACCTCTGTCCATACTTCCTTGTTACAGTATAAAGAGATGGCCAGTATACTGAGGTGATATTACCTATGTTTCTAACTTTTTGTTTTTGTAAAAGTCGTCATTGTCCAGTTTTCAGGGCTGGCCAGTTTTGGAAAAATTCATTTGTAAAAGGGAGTTATTCAGTCTTTCTGGACATTACAAATCGGCCGATAATAAGGGAGATCTGGTTTTCTGGGACACCAGATATGAGAAGTTTTCACTGTATACCACATTCCATCATTATACATGTACATTTATTACATTTTCAACAGTGAAATACTATAATTTTGAATAAAATAGTGATATTTTTCACAGTGACAAGACAGAGGCAAAAGCAAAACTAAAGAAAATGTAATGAAAAGAAATTCAGTGTTTTTAGTTGGATAAGTCAGTCTGTTTATTCTTTCCATTCAGTATTTTTAAGGTTGGATTGAAGGTAACTGGGGTTGATTACCGGTGTGCACACTTTTGTTAATTTGTGTGACTTATTTCAACAAAAGATAAAGATCAATATTTGAAAAAAAAATTTAGCAAACAAGTCTTACTCTGATAGATGAAATTCTTCACTTTCATCTCCTTCATCATTGTCATCATCGCTGTCCAGTGTCGTCAGTCGTCGGGCCCTCTTCTTCCTGCTGACTACTGGTGGTGGTTTGTCAGATTTTTCTTCATCAGAAGGTACGTATTCACGGCCCTCAGCTTCATAAATATTGGCCATGTCTTTACCTCGACTGCGACCTAGAAAAGAAAAACCAAAAGACCTCATCAGAAGGTACATATTCACAGCCCTCAACTTCATAAATATTGGCCAGGTCTTTGCCTTGACTGCGACCTAGAAAAAGATAAGACAAAACCTTGCTCAAAAAGGAAATTCACACATCTCATACATGCTTTGCCCATGTGCAGTTGCAAAAGTATGCAACTTTAAAATGTGTTGTATGGCACTTAGGATAACCATTTCCTTGGATACATTTCAAATTTTGAGTATTGCTTGATACAGTTCATTTTTTATTTTATATACATGTAAAAGGACAATTTTTACTTCCATATTACACATACTCTTTTACTAAACTGGATTTTGATGAAACTGAACACTCACCGTAGTTATGTTTCTTGTATTCTTTCACTTCTTCCACCTCCTGTTTGATGGCCTTGTCAATCAGATCATCAAAGTCCTCAAACTTATAGCTGATAGTGTTTCTCTGTCTACAGGAGCGTTTGATATATTTACTTTTGCGGGGTTTGGGGTTATAACTCTCGCGGCTCTCCTCACTCTCATATTCTTCCTCGGGTGCTATGTTCTCCTTCCTCTCCTTGTACTCCTAAAAAAGTTTTAATCGTCGTAAAAATTATCGACAGAGGAAAAAAATAATCAAGGACTTCATTAAGGTACATGTACATTGATATGAGAGATAACATTGACACTGGGATTAATAACTATTATTCCTTGATAAAATTGTCAAGTTAAATGACCATTTCTGTCAAATTTTGCCCTCAAGGTATATATAAAACTGTGTGCATATTACATAATATAGATCACTTCTGGAAAATCATAGTGTTAAAGCAAAATTTTATATGAGTTAACAGAGGTACAATGAATCTTGAGTAGAAAGGTACTGATAAACAGATGAACATCCTTAAACTAAAACAGAGGTACAATGCACCTTAAGTAGAGAGGTGCTGATAAACAGATGAACATCCTTAAACTAAAACAGAGGTACAATGCAGCTTAAGTAGAGAGGTACTGATAAACAGATGAAATCACTAAAACAGAACAAAACTGGAAAAACTTCTTACCTCTTTCAGAATGTTATCTAAACTAATTCCAACATATGCTAGCCTCTGTTTTCTGGGAAAAAGAAACAATTACAGTTTAGACTAATATTCTTCAGTTACAATCTCTCTCTGATAAACCGAAATCCTGTTAATCTATATACTGTATTACACAAAATTTTTGAAAGTTTTTACAATTTACAAGAATATGAGTTATTTTGTTCTCATTTTTTCTGCCATCAGGTCAAAATTGTTGACACTAGAGTTAATCAATAAAAAAAATCACTGTTTAATAGACAAGTTAATAGACATATCAATAGACAAGTTAATAGACAAATTAATAGACAAGCTAAATTCATTTTTATTTACCGGTACCGTTTTCAGAATGAACGATATTATAAAGTTCAATTTAATATCAGGTAACACTGAAATTAAAATGGCAAGACACCTTTGCTAGTGACACTCTTTTTTACCTTTTAATAATTCTCTCATGCTTCTTTAGATTGGTATCTAGATCTTTAAGATTTTCTTGTAACCTCATGACCAGGGATTTCTGAAATACATTCGACAATCATCTACCAAGTTCATCTCAACAAGCAACAGTTAACACACATACAGAATTCTAAATTCATTTTTAGTATAAATATATCTGAGGTATGTGTACAATATTTAGATGAAAGACCAATATGTTCACAAAGGGAACAACTTTTCTTTGTAAAGAATTTCATATCTGAGATGGTGAGAGAGACTCACATGTTCACAAGGTGGGCAGTACCAATCTCCATCCGGAATAATCATCAGTGGAGGTCTAAGACAGGCGGTGTGGAAGGCGGCGTCACATTTATCACACAGTAATAACTGAAACAGAGAGTTAATCATAAGTGGGGGCCTCAGACAGGCAGCGTGGAAGGCGGCATCACATTTATCACACAGTAATAACTGAAAGAATTAATCATAAGTGGGGGCCTCAGACAGGCGGTGTGGAAGGTGGCCTCACATTTATCACACAGTAATAACTGAAACTGAGAATTAATCAGAAGTGGAGGCCTGAAAAAAGGCGTTATGGAAGTCTGTGTCATACTTATCACACAGTAATAACTGAGAGATTGTATCATCAGTAAGGGTCTGAGACAGATGGTTGGAAAGTTGTGTCATATTGATCAACAAAACAGATACATGTAGTTAACACTGAATCATCACACGGATATGTACCGGTACTTGAAAATTCATACACAATTACTACGCTACTATTTTTGTAAGCCTGTACATGTGTTTGTACTACATGCCTTACCCATTCTGGTTGGTGAGTTTTCTGACATTTACAACAAGGGGTGTCAATAGGTAGCCTGACTGTGTTTGTACTACATGCCTTACCCATTCTGGTTGGTGTGTTTTCTGACATTTACAGCAAGGAGTGTCATTAGGAATTTCCTCTTCTGCTTCATCTTCTTCTAACTGACCTAAATAAAAAAAAAAGAAAGAGGAAAATTTCATATTGAGGGAAAAAGATTTAGAAAAAAATTAAGCAGTTCAGTCCATGCATACATGTAAATACATGTACATAAGCAATTTAGCCTCATGTTTGTATAAAATTTGATTATTAAAAGCACACACATGTAATATACACTTGCTATGTCTATAAACAAGAAAAACATCCACTTCATATTTAAAACTGTAGTTGAATATTAGTATTTTTTTATATCATTATGTCAAATGTTGCTGATCTTGTCCATTTTTAATTTGAGAATCAACTCTGATATCTTGAACACTCAGACTCAATATTCTTATGTTCAAGATAACAAAATTCAACTGTTCCAAATGATTTGAAAAAAAATATCTGCAGGTTTGTCAGAAGAATTAGCAGCTTTCTTTATCTATCGATTCAGGAAACTTACGTTTGCGAGCTTCTTGTCTTTGTGCATTGCGTCCTTTGGTTGGCGTAAATTCGTCGTCTGAAGTTTCCTGTTCAGAACCCATTTCAAACTCGCTATCCACATTATCCTCCTCGAAGCTGGAGGGCTCGGGTGTGGGCTCCTTCCTCTGCCTCATGTTCCTCACGCGAGCACTCCTCCTCCTGCCCTGGTCGTCCTCGTCGCTCGGGAGAGGATCCTCAGACTTTGGTTTTGGTTTATTTTTAGTGTTTTTTGTATTTTTGAGTGGGACATCATCATCACTGGAGTCTGGTTCCTGTTTCTTTGTCTTTTTGGTGGGTGGTTTTGATTTCTTGGAGTTTTTCTTTGGTGCTGGGCTCCCTTCCTCCTCGCTATCACTCCCTTTCTCAATTATATTTTTTCGCTTAGATTTTGTCTTCTTTGGACTCTCATCCTCCTCTTCACTGGAAATCTTTTTCTTCTGAAATCGCAAAATAGAAATCTTTAACTTAGCACCATAAAATAAATATATAGTTCTTAGATAAAACTAGCCCTTCAAATTTTTTAATGATTATGAAATTTGCAAGAAATTGCTGTCAAATTGAGTTTGAGCTTTGAATTAAATATCAATTTATAGATTACAAGTATTGCAATTGATAAGAAGGTAAAAGGTAAAAGCTAACAACACAAATGTAGAGATCTGGAACCCTTGATAGGACAGAATGCAAACTTAATTTTGTTGTCTATAATTTTAATGGCTGTAATGTTTTATGAATTTAGGACATGTAGTGATGTTTTATGGGCTAAGAGATGTTCAAGAATAGTTGGGAGTTTAGAACCCTAGATTAGAATGGATTCTTTTTATTACCTTGACAGGTCTGTTACTTTTCCTGGAGGGTACATTGGGGGAAGACTCTGGTCGTTTCCTGTTGGCGTCCCCCGACTTGCCTCCTATTTTACTCAGTGGAACATCATCACTGTCTGACGAGGAGTCTACTTTCTTTGGAGTCCTGCGCTTTCCGCGTGGAATGATTTTCTTGCCGTCCTTGGCTTTTTTGGAGTTGGGTTCCACAGGGGAGTCCTCCGCTGATTCCTCGTATTCTATCCCTCTCTTACGCCCCCCTTTAAGGTTGGGTTTCTTTGTTTTCTCTTTCTGTTTCAGAACATCAGAATCATTCCCAGACTGCACTTCTTTCTTTAGTGATTCCTGTGTGGATTCTTCTGTTTTGTTGTCTGACTGTTTTTCACTGTCATCACTCTTTTTCTCCGTCCTCTTCTCTGTAGAATCCTCAGGCTTCTCATTTGTATGGTCAGGCTTCTCTGTTGTATGGTCAGGTTTTTCTGCTATATGGTCAACCTTATCTTTGACGGCCTCCTCTGAAGTAGCCTCTGTGTTGTTTTTTCTATTATCAGAGTCTACTTGTCCGATTTCTTTATTTTCAGTACTTTCTTCTGTTTCTCTCTCTACACCTTTAGTAGAGACATCACTCTGTGCAATTTCCTTGGTTTCCCTATTCTCGGTTTTCTCTATTTCTTTACTGTCTGACTTAGAAGATTCTTCCACCTCATCAGACAACTTTGTATCTTGACTTTTCCTATCAGGGTTATTCGCCAATTCTTTCTCCTTCTCTGAATCTTTCGAATCTCTAGTGTCCTTTAAATTCACTTCTTCCTCTCTTTGGCTTTCCTCTTCTTGTGGTTTTTCTTCATTCTCATCCTGTGTGTCATTCTCAGTTTCTTTAGGACTTAACTTTAATTCAGTATTATCTTTTTTTGCAAGATCTTCTTCAGTGTCAATTTTTGTCTTATGTTCAGAGACAGAACTATTTTCTTTGTGACCATTTGTTTGAATAGGTACAATATTATTAGAATTTCCATCTTCAGTTTCCCTATTTTCTGTTACAGTATCACATTTTACAGTTTTATCAGCCTCAGTCATCTTACTATCATTAACTTCTACAAAATTAGCCCCTTTTTCCTGTTCCTGCTTCTCCTTATTCACTTCCTTATCATCAATACTGACTGAGAAATTGGTACGTATTGTATCAACTTCCTCAGTCTCTTTCACTGAAGTCTCTCCTTCTGATTGCTCTCCCATTGTTTCATTGTTTACTGCCTCAGTATCCACACCATCTGAAGCATTAGCCTCTACAGGTTCACCTATTTTAGTTTCTCCTCTCTCTTCCCCTTTGCTAGTGTCATCTTTATCAGAAGGTCCCTGTTTTCTTTTTCCTGTATCCTCTATTTTGTCTGAGGTATCTGCCACTGATTCCTTTTCATTTTGAATTTCTGCCTCTTCCACTTTACTCAATGTATCCACATTTGTGGGTTCTTTTATAATTTCTGCCTCTTCCACTTCACCTAATGTGTCAGTCTTTGTGGGTTTTTCCTCTTTAGTATCTACCTTTTCCAATTTCACTTTCACCGAGTCTTCATTTTCACCCCCCTTTTCCTCTTTTTCTCCCTGTTTTGCAGTGGCCTCACTTTTAACACTTATTTCTTCCACTTTAATTTTATCCTCTTTAGTACAAGATTCTTCAACCTTAACAGAATATTCCACTTTACCTTCTTGATGAGTTTCTTCTTTCACCTTGACACTCTTTTCTTCTTTTACAGAATCTTCACATTTGACCTCTTCTTTCACTTTCAGTTTTAGGTCCTTACTTTCACATTTTATTACATCAATATTTTTCTTTTCCTCTGTGTTATCATCCTTCTCTTCTGTTGCTCCGTCCACTTCATCCACCTTATCTGGTTCTTTCTTGACGGTGGATGATCCATTTCCCTCCTCATCAGCAGAATCCCCCTCCACTTCTTTCTTGTGGTCACCATTCGTGTCTTCTGTCAATGATACTATTTAATGTAAAAATTGAATCATGTTCATTAGTATACATGTATGTAAATTTTATGAAATTTTGATGCTGACCCTGATGATGTTATTTCTATCAAATATGACAGACAGGTAAATAGGACATACAAATAAACCAACTTTTCTTTTTCGATCTTCTTTTAACTCGTGAATATTTCTCACCATGACAATCAATACATGGTCGTACACAGACTTACCAGCTTCAGACTCACTGTCCTCCTTTACATCGTTGCCAGCAATTTGTTCCTCCAGCGAATCTATCAATTCAGCCAGGTCATTTCTGTTCCTGATAAAGAAACAGATAATCCATAATCTGCTGATCTTAATCCAGAAAAGAAAATCAAATATTTGTATTTTTTTCTGTAATCATTAACTGTCCATCCATCCTTATCCTAAATTAATAAATGCAATGTAAAGTGATTGAGTTTCCTGCAACGTGACCATTCTGGATGATTGTTTTAAATGTAATGTCCGAAAATATGTTCATAATAAATGTATTTATGACATACATGTATTTCCAAATTTCATTTCTTACTAGCAAACAACCAGGTTTATTTATGATCTATTGACTATTATTTATTTTTGATATATTGACTATATTTCATTTTCAATTTACAGACAACTATGTTTATTAATCATGGTATTTCATGACTTACTGCAGACAACTATCTTATTAATGATATATTGGCTATATTTCATATCTTACTAACCAAGCTTACAGACAACTAGGTCTATCTATGACATATTGGCTATATTTCATATCTTACTAACCATGCTTACAGACAACTAGGTCTATCTATGACATATTGGCTATATTTCATATCTTACTAACCAAGCTTACAGACAACTAGGTCTATCTATGACATATTGGCTATATTTCCTATCTTACTAACCATGCTTACAGACAACTAGGTCTATCTATGACATATTGGCTATATTTCCTATCTTACTAACCATGCTTACAGACAACTAGGTCTATCTATGACATATTGGCTATATTTCATATCTTACTAACCATGCTTACAGACAACTAGGTCTATCTATGACATATTGGCTATATTTCATATCTTACTAACCATGCTTACAGACAACTAGGTCTATCTATGACATATTGGCTATATTTCATATCTTACTAACCAAGCTTACAGACAACTAGGTCTATCTATGACATATTGGCTATATTTCATATCTTACTAACCATGCTTACAGACAACTAGGTCTATCTATGACATATTGGCTATATTTCATATCTTACTAACCATGCTTACAGACAACTAGGTCTATCTATGACATATTGGCTATATTTCATATCTTACTAACCATGCTTACAGACAACTAGGTCTATCTATGACATATTGGCTATATTTCATATCTTACTAACCATGCTTACAGACAACTAGGTCTATCTATGACATATTGGCTATATTTCATATCTTACTAACCAAGCTTACAGACAACTAGGTCTATCTATGACATATTGGCTATATTTCCTATCTTACTAACCATGCTTACAGACAACTAGGTCTATCTATGACATATTGGCTATATTTCCTATCTTACTAACCATGCTTACAGACAACTAGGTCTATCTATGACATATTGGCTATATTCCATATCTTACTAACCAAGCTTACAGACAACTAGGTCTATCTATGACATATTGGCTATATTTCATATCTTACTAACCATGCTTACAGACAACTAGGTCTATCTATGACATATTGACTATTAATTGTGGACAGATAGATTTATTTCTGATCTATTGGCTATATTTCATGTCTTACTTGCAGACAACTTCCCAGGTTTCCGCATCAACATCATCCTGGTCTTCCCTGTATACACGGACATTGAACTCCTTATCCTGCATAATAATCAAAGATGAAAAGGTTTATAAAGGGGCAATGCCTGCTGTCTAATCCATTTGTTTGATACAAAATGAATTTTAAAAATTTGAAGAGCAAATCAAGAAATCATAGAATCCATTCACTGTCAACAGCAATTTAAATTCCTAAACTCTTTTCTATCAGAAAAATTATCATGTTCAGCTAGATCTTCTTCATTTTTTTTAAACTAAAATAAGTCTAAGACAAGTCATTTTCTCTACTGGTAAAAACTTTTTCAGCAATAACATTTGATGTATGCCTAGGAGGTCCATCTTACTTTCACTGTGACATGAAAATATCACAGGACAAATTTTGGATTTAGAAATACATATGTTTTTTCTGCTTGTTACTTACAATGAGGTACCAGTACGCTAATCCATTTTTATCTCGACCCAGAGGCTCGAACCTCATATCCTCCGCAGGTTTGGCATTTATCTGTTCTTTAAACTTTGAGTTGAAGTCAAACTGCTTTTCAAGGAGGTTCTACATAAAATAAGTTCATCTGTTAGTCTTCATTTTCATTTCTTAAATATAATGTAATATTTATGCTTTTATCAATTTCATAATGGAAATGTTACAAAATCTTTAAAAATCACCATTCTCTATTAAACATGTTAAAACTCTCAAAATACATTACTTATTAAATAATCTCTTTATTTGAAAAATTAATCTTTATTAGATCAGTAAACATACCTTTAAGATTGTTAGCTTTGTTGCAATTTTGCAGTGCTTGTATCCAAATCGCTCGACCTCCCACGCATCAACACTGGAGTATGTGTGTATGAACTGTACAAAGGAATAAAAGATATTACCATATGAACTATACAAAGGAATAAAGAGAATCTATAAATGAAGCCAAAGGTATATAAAATAGCTGGAAATTACCAAGAAATTTAAATCATATATCTGATACTTTGTTGTCTGGAGTTCAAGTTCAAGGCATGCCTCATATTTGAGTATGTAAAAATAAGTGCTTTATGGTTACAAGTAGTGTTCAAATAGATCTTTTGTGTGTCAAATGATCAGTGCTCCAGCTAGGATCTGAAAATGGAGCGGTGCAAGAGAAGGGCACTTTTCGCAACTTACCTTTTGTTGCGAGCTTTTGAACTTACCGTTTGTTGCGAGCTTTTGATAAATGGGCATATGTCATTACTTTACCCTCATAACAATGAACTCCTCCAAATTTTATTAATTCATTCAACCTAATTAATTTTGAAAGATATACATGTATAACATACACTAATCTAAAGCTAGTGTGTAAACTTATAAAACATAATTCAAAAAATCATAAGAATGTTACTTTTCTTTTTTTCAATCATTTTCTATTTCTATGCTATTTTCAATAAATTATGTCACACAATGACAGGGCCCTACTCTTTATTCAAACACTATAATCATTGAAAACAGTGTTTAATCGTAGGGGCATGTGCTAGTGAGACTCTGTGCTTGCTCGCTAGAGATTAGGATTATATATATAAGAATCAGAATAGCTGAGAGTGATGCAGTGTATTACAATGAATTTTGGCTGTACAATATATGAATGTTTATGTTCATTATTACTAAAGCACGCACAGTGAGCAGTGTTTCTGCACAATTTGTGTTGTATTTTCATTCATTCAGCATCTCCCGCATTGCGCAGTGGTTAGAGCTTTTGCTCTAGAGTTGTGGAGTAAGGAGTTGATCCTTAGGTTGCGGGTTTGAATCCCACTGTGGGACATGGAGACTGGCCCTTTGATGAGACCGTATAAACCGAGGTCCCGTGTCGCAGTAGGTGCTGGCACGAAAAAGATCCCTCACTGCTCAATGGCCCTGAGTGCTGAGTATAGGTCAAAATTTGCAGCTCTCCACCGGCAAGTGGTGGCGTCTCCATGTGAGTGTAAAATTCTTGAGAAGGATGTTAAACAACAATAAACAAACAAACATTCATTATTGTTTTATATTCAGACAAATGAAACGAAGGAAAATATAACACCTACAGTTGAATTTCGATATCTCAACACAGTTATCTCGACTACCATGGATATGTCAAAGTGATTTTGATTATTTCTTAAATATTTTACCCAGGATATCTTGAATCCTATGATATCTTGAAGTATTTTCTTGGTCCGCGAGGTTTGACGGTACTTTACAAACCTGAGGCTGACTTGTTCTCAACCCCAGTCATTTCTACCTTGTTCTACTTTGAAATTGAGATACTAGATTAATATGTATGTAGATTAAAATTTTTACCTGTATATTATATTAATTTATATAGTTTTAAAGGTCATAGGAGACAGTTACCTGAACATATTGAGTTACATACGGGAATAAGTTAATATGAGCTGTTAAAATAAGACTGAAATTGTTTTTTGGATTTTTTACGCAAGATAGCTATAGCACAGTCAATCAAAATTACTCGGTCGTGAAAATTCACTTTGACTAACGTTGCTTATCTCCCTTAGCATATGACGTCAGTAAGGCCCAATCGCTGTTCAAAGCTATGCAATGTTTACAAACTATCATGTCATTTTGCAGCTTAATTTTAAAGAATATAATATTCATGGCTAAAACCTAGTATAAATATACGGTCTTCAAACAAGCAAGTATTTCTTTTTAAAAATTCCATTGCATATTTGCAAGATGTTTGCATGTTTTATCAATCAAAATGTGATCATTTTCATCGTTTGACACTTCGATCTATTGAGAGAAGAATAAAGCAATTGGAAGAGAGAAAGAAGGGAGAGTGAGAATGAATTCATTTTTCATAACCAGGGCAGTTGTTTTTATGAAATCATTTATTTACAACCTAGTTTTACTTTCACACAGAATCCAACACTGTCAGTACATGACACTTTTCTTGACAAACGATACGTACCTGCAGCGTTAAGTATCACATGACTTAAAAAAAAAAACCAAGAAAAAAAATTCTTGTGTTACTGTTTTATATAATTAAATCAATTCTTATCATTTGACACTGTCTTAATATTCACTTACTCATGTACAACATCACCACCAATACCCGATCTCTGCCCCCCCCCCCCCTCCCATCCCCCTTGTTATTTCTTATTTCTTTCTTTTTGTAATTGAAAGTTCTTGAAATAATCGTGTCGTTTGCAGATGGGTTAAAACAACTCTGGCAAGAGCTATACATAAACTTGTATATATGGGAGTTAGTACAAACGACGTTTAAAAGAAAAGCAGCTCTAACATGTGGAAATATTTCTATGAAGAATAAGGATTCTACCAAATGTAGATATTGAATGAATTAGGAATCGACATTTTTTTTAATTTATTAAAATTTAATACATAAAATACGAAAAAGGTAGGTATCTTTCCAGTCAATTTGTTAAAATATTTATCAAAGATCGGTACTTATCATCGTATAGAAACCTGTTTATTTTTCCAGTGTGTATTATATTATTTTTTCTGTAAAGGATATAATTTCAAAAGTTTTCTCATCTGTTAAAAAGAACATTAATATTAAAATTGTAGTCTCGCAAATGATGGATGGATTTGCAAACTGATCACGGACCGTACTGTTTACTACTACATACCGATTATTTCAAAATTCGATATTGTAGAGTCAAACTGTGTCTGCACAAAGTATCCGCATCGTAACAATCTCAGCATTTCTTCTTTATATATATATATATGTATATATATGTATATATATATATATATATATATATATATATATATATATATATATATATATATATATATAAAGCACTAAAAATGACCAACGACACGAACAATAATAATTGTCAAATTTTCGGGACAACCTGTCCCTTCCTCAGGACAAAGAAAAAAGTTAAGAAGTCATAAAAACAAAGGAAATAGAGAAGCAAAAACAACTAGCACTACTACTAAACTACCAAACACTAAATATTTACAAGGTTACATGTTTAATTTGGAGTTTATAAACAGTTGTGAACAAAGAAATCCGGAGCGCTATGAATTGCGTCCGGTCTATCGGGTGTACTCGGTGAAGTGTGATTTACATAATTGAACGAATTAATTATCGCTAATTAATTACGGCCAACAGTAAATCGTACATTGTCTTATTCTCTCAAAATAGCGTAACTCTACATGATAAAAAGAAATTAAAGAAAGATAATATGGAAGGACCATTTTGAAATATGAATTTGGATATATTATAAATTTGGAAATCGGAAAAAAGAAATAAACAAAAATGTGAGCTGTAAATATTTGGGTAGGTTGTTCCAGGATTATTAATACGAATTAACGGTAAAGTTTACGTTATATAGAGAGAATGAACTTGTTTGTTACAATTCGGGATTGGGTCTAGTTCACGTTCATCCTGGTGAAGTCATTAAGTTTGTTAATACCATTAGGGCGGAATGACTTCAGCCTGTGCATCCAGAACTTTTCCTTGCCTTTTCTCTGCGCGTCTGTCCATCTTGGATTATGGTCAATAACCACTACTGTCATGTCCTCCCATTTGTGACCTTCAAGGTTGAAATGTTCCCCAACGGGTTCATTGAGTTTTTTGGTCCTAATGGTAGAACGGTGATTATTGACTCTCCTGCGGAGATCTCCTGTTTCACCAACATACTGTTTGGAGCAAACTTTGCAGCTGATGAGATAAATGCAGTTGTCTGTTTGACAGGACAAATTCCCTAGTATTTTGTAGCTGCGGCCTGTAACGGGGCTGTTAAAACTGTCTGTGTCAGAGCTGTACTTACAGAGAAGACATCTTCTGTCAGAGCAAGTTTTAAAGCCCCCGTTAGGTAATGGATTGTCCAATCTGGTTCTTACTACCATGTCCTTCAGGTTCCTCGGGCGCCTGTATGCAGCCAATGGGGGCTCCTTAAAGACCTCTGTCATTCGTTTATTTGAGTGGAGAATTGGCAGATTCTTTTGAAGGATACCGCTGAGGTTCTTAAGGACGGGATGGTATGTGGTTACCAGAGGGACCCTGCCGCTATTGTCTTTTTCCTTGTAGCGTAATAGGTTTTGCCTGTCATGTCCCGCCATCTCATCAATAGCAGTTTGTACGGTGCGGGCATTGTAGCCTCTCTTGCATAAGTGGGACTTAAGGAGACCGCTTTGTTCTTGATATAAGGCAGGGGATGAACAGATGCGCCGAATTCTGGTGGCTAGACCCTTAGGCACACCCTTAAATGTGTGTGGGGGATGACAGCTAGTTGGCATAAGATACAGATGGGAATCTGTGGGTTTCGTGTGGAGACTGAACTCGATTTCACCATCAGTCAGGGTAGATGTAGTATCTAGGAATATGTTTTTCGAATTAGATACGTCTACTGTAAATTTGATAGACTGATGAAAGGTGTTGGCGAACGAAATGAATGCCTCGAGGCTCTCGCGACATTCCACCCACTATATATATATATATATATATATATTTATAGAAGAATACGATCATGTCATAAACTCAGGGATTCTATTGCTATATCGTTTTTACAGAAATATGTGTGATTCGGATTGGGGAAAACGAAACTTCAAAGACGCTGACTTTTCAGTGGTTCACGCTTATCATGGACTTCAATACCACCGGCCCCGTGTTTATTTTGGGGATTCACATTAGGGGTATTCCCCATATAAGTGTCATATTCTTTCTTTAACAGAATATTATAAGCTTAATCAAAATTTTTATTCATATCAGAAAAGGTCACTTTTAATAAATTATTCTATTTTATGTTGCATTATGCGATTTTTCTTGGAATAAAAAACGACTTATTAACTTTTTTTTTTTTAATGACGATGGAATCCTTTTGCAATGTCGTATATGTGTATTAAACAGGGAAATATTTTTTTTTGTTTCTAAAGGTTTGATGCAGAGTAAGTAATCGAAGTTGTAGCTCAATTTAAGCGTAATTCTATATAGGATATCCATCAGGATCATCCTCCGATGAAAAGCCCCCGTTTTGAGTTGCCATGCCTTATTAACGACTCGTTCAAACTGAATTGACTGAACTACGAAATCAGATAACTCACCTGAAAACATAGACTCATTTATATTTACAAAAATAGCTTAAATTAACTAGATAAAAATATGGTAGAAATACATTAGTCTAATGCTCTGTTTACATCAGTGGGCTCTTGTGACGTCACAAAACCACAAAATCAAGAACGATAAGCAGGTAAGAAAAGTAACAAGTGGAAAAGTTTTCACCTTTATTTTTCAGCAGAACAAAGGCCAAAAAATATTACTACTCGTAATTTAACATTCTTTTATATATAGCTTTAGGTTTAAAAAGTGAAATCCTAATGTTAAGAATCGTTTCCTATGACCTTTAAGCAGAGAGATAGGAGGTAACTGTATGTAGCAAGAACATTGTAGTATCTTTTTGTTACCACCATTGTTACCACCATTCATTTGGTGTATTTTATTTACTTATATTAGCAAAAATACATGCAGGAAACTATACGTTCTGCATATTTATCTGAATCAAATGGTTTGGAAAAGAATTGATTTGCATCACCTGTGATCCATGTTAGCTGTGAAATATATTTTTATTGTAGAGTCCTAAACATACAAGAGGAATTTATTATCGCATAATTTCGCGAACAGCACCACTTGCAAAATAAAATTACTCGCATTTAATTTTATGGAACTGAACTCCATGTAAAAATATCAAGGGCATCTGTGCATTCGCAAATTAATTTTCTCGTGATTTGACGTCTAAGGACCATTTCACAATATTAAGTACACACATAAAATAAGGAATCTACAGTATCTTTATATGGACACACATTGATCAAGTATTTAAGTGAAATCATTCTGGTAAGTGACACCTAACATCACATTATAGGGAATTTCTACCTTAATGACATATCGCTCCCATTTGTCAGTCGACACTGAACTTTTCCCCATTCGTCTAAGAAGTTTCACATGCAAATCAACCAAAAAGGAGGGAACTGCAAAACAAATATGTTAACATAATTATAGAATTCATGGTTTAAAGTTTAAAATATATATATATCATGTTAACATTGAATAGTCATAATTTTGTTCTGATAGGTAAATGCTACTTATTTAAAATCTCAAAAAAAAACACCACATTTGTTCAAAGAAAACAAAGAGTCTGAGTGATCAAAACTAGAGGTATTTATGCATAAAGTTCAAATCCATTCAATATATGCTCTTTGTATTCATGATTTTTCCAAAATGCATGAAGTAAAGCAAAAATGGTGATAGTGTAACATTTAAATTGCAAAATGTGTAAACGAAAGAGTCAGATTCGTTAATACAGTGATGATGTGAATTGTTATACAGTACACTAATTACACAAGATAAACAAAGATATTTCGTTGTTCATGATGTAAACAATACCAAAAAAATAATTTTCAACGGACCATGCTTTGTGTCTTCAAGCCAGATTTGGAGATCTGTATAAGATATATCACCAAGACCAATTATTTCACCAAAGCGGTCCAAAAAGTTGCATATAACTGCAAAGTTTGGATCATTAAGACAATCATTTTCTGACGCCGTCGCCATCTTGATCGATATGCTAATAATTTCATTCGGAAAGTTTCTAACATATCTGTTATGAAATGAAAACTCTAAAGAAGCTCGAAATAAAATAAAGTATTTCTATCCCGATGAATTTAACAGTATTTCTTAGAAATATATGGAATTCAAATGTATACCCTGTTCATTTAAAAAAATCACCCCACTCTGTATATAAATGTTTTCATATTTTGAAAGTTTTAAAATATTGCAAAGTTTAGATCAAAAATGACTGATCAAAATATTTCAATATTTTATTAATTTCGGAATCGAACTTCAAAAATTAATTTCACAGCAACTTGAATTTCCTCAGGACTTTTAAACAGATTAATTAGTAATTGGTAAATGTAAAACAGGGAAACACGAAGCCTTCTAATCAGTTTTCATGTAATTTTTTTAATAAAAAATGAAAATGAGTTGACTATTTTTAAAATGTTTGTTCTATTTTCCAGAGATATGTAAATCCATCTGCGTTTCACCATTAGAGGAGAAATTGTTTCAAAATTGTTCTCAAACTAAGAGCCCACCAGGGCACAGAACAATAACAACAACAACAATAGCAACCAAGAAAGGGATTCAAAAGAATAAAGGCTTCTTTTTATACATTATATCTTAATAATGGAAACTATTCATGAGAAACCTGGTAGGTGAAGTACATTTTCTCTTTCCATTAACTAACTAGCAACTTCAATATTGTAGTAATGTAGCCATGGTAGCAGGTGTGCAGAATTTAAAGGTCATATGTATTTAAACATTTTTATCAAATAACTGTCACAGAGTGACAATCACTTGTTTTTATTTTATTCATAGTTATTATTGAATTAATACATGTAGTGTAATGTTTTATAATAAACAGCTGTAGTAAATTTTCATTCATTCATACTCATCATTGTTATTGTGTATGTATTGTATTCTGGTTTGTTTTGTGTTCTGATGTCCCTTGATTGTCTTGTTTGGATTATATCTGTAGTTATATGTCACAAAATCCTTAAGGAATGTGACGGGGGAGGGTGTATTTAGTCATTACGATGTATCATATTGGACTCAAAGCTGTCTAGCGTTGGGACAAGGACTTCTTCCTCTTCCAGGTGGTTCCAATCAATTGCAGTGCAGACAAAAAATTAGTTTCTATATTGTTCAGTTTTAGTGCTTGGTATTTCCACTACTTTTCTGTTGTTTCTTAATCTGCTATCTATAATATTGGATGTCTTGTAATCTTTACAAGTTGTAGTTCAAATGTTCCTTTTTGTTTTTGAAATTTTATGCATTGATTGGGTGCTGTTGTAGTATCTGCCCCACAACCACTTTGTAGAAAAAGATCAGCCTTTGCTGGTCTGTAACAAGGGTATAGGTAGAGTTCTTTAAGCATCTTGGTCATGGTACCCTTTCTCTTGATTTGTATTCTTTCGTTATAAGAGGTGGTCTTGTACCCCTTCTCTGTATAGATTTAATTTTATTCTTTCTAGTTTGGTGTATGGGTTTCGTGCAAGAAATATCTGAGAGTTTTGCGACCTTGCTCTATTCTCGAATATTTCTTACCGTGAACTACTTATTTCATCACATGTTTATGAAGAATGTTTCCTCATTTGCAAAAATAATAGTCTTTGTGGATAGATTTCACACTGTCAAATTACGAATAAAAGTTGCTGTGAATAGACAACTTTCACATTTACAAGATTTATTTCTCTTTGCATGGTCAATCTGGGGTCAGTTGGTGTAATCCACTGTTGTCCCTCTATAACATTACTAACTTTATTGGGCAATGTCTTACTGTACAATTAAATCTGTATGTGTTTGTTCATTATGTTGTCTGTGTTGCTCCATACTATGGCAATATATGAACGTTACAAATTTGTCAGAAAGCATTTGAAGGTTTAAAATATTTACAGGTAAGTTACGAAGGATATAGTGAGAAAAAAGATCGTTACGCTGGCAAAGAGAGATAACTCTTAAGAACATGAAAGTCATATGTAAGGGTTGGCTTACAGTATTCCTTACAGAACCTTAGTAAATCTGATAGGAAGCAATTTAATAATTTGATTTTAACTAATTGCAATTACATAAATATAGTGCAAGTGCATTTTTATAAGTATGTCATTTTCATTGCAGGTCACCTTTGTTCTTCATTTCTTTGTTTTAAATAAGTCATAGAACATCCATCTAATGTTTCGCTAAATTTCCAAAGATGGAATATCCTGGCATAAAAATTTTACCATATGGGGTGAAAATTATTGAAAAATTAAGCCTGAAAATTGAAATTTTATTATATTGTATGTATTATGTTTTTCAAAGGAAACTTCATGATTTATCAATTTTAGTTCATACTGTGAATGTAATACATACATCTCTCATAGCAGGGGATGAATTTCATTCATTACTTAATAAATATATGAATTGTTCTATCTATACATTGTGGTTGAATCATGATGAACACATGTAGATATGCAAACCCTATTTGGGACACATTTCAGACTTGCTGAATGTTTACTTTTCACTTCTTGAAATAACACATTTTAGTCTGTGCATGCATAAAAAGGATATATTTAATGGTCACATTATGATTTACTTATTCTTGTATATTTGTATATTTACACTAAAGACATGCACTCATATTTTGGAATGATGATCTCACAACATTGCTGAACTAATGTAAGCATTGCCATGGTATTTACTTTCTGAAAGTATTTATTTGTACAGTTGAACTTTGTTATCTTGAACACCAATATCTCTAATACCAGGGATATGTCAAAGTGATTTGTCCCAACCACTTTTTCTTTACTATCTTGGTCCTGTCAAGTTTGAGATGATCAGCTTTGACTGTAATATATTAATACAATCTATCTGAAATATCTAAATTTGAAGTCTTATTTCCAGCTTCCAACTGTAAAGAGCATGTCCACTTTGAAGCAGAGCAACTCAAGGACCATAATCTTGAGATTCACGTGAAACAGAGCGACGGTCAGGCAGACGTCCACCTGGGATTTTTACAGGTCAACCACCACTACGTCGTTTGCTTCTGTGTCAGTGATAGCCTAGGGGAGGAGGTTGTCTATGATAAAAGGGAAAACCTTCATGTTGAGATCCAGAAAGTCACCCCTACAGAAGATGGTAGGAGCAAATTTAAAATTCCTTCACAAAGTTTTGATTATGGGCAGACATATACATGCTTATACATAAATTTTATTCTTGATACTAAAATCTTTTATGAAATGCTCAAGAGGACACTCAGAATAATTTTGCTTGAACTCTAAATTTTTTTTTTTTAAAGTAGAACTTCTAATTTTCTTCTTCATATATTAGTTTTATTGTACTTCTAAAAATAATTTAGAACGTTGTCACTTTTATCATTGGTTTTCTTAATCTTGATACATACTTTCAGATATAGTTTAGTAAACAAATTTAATTTTCTACTGAAAAGTATAAGGTATTGTGAATGGAGTTTCCTTGAAAATATTACTTCATTAAGTACCAAATTGGCTCATCAGTAGTCTTTAAAGAATTGTCTCCCCTTCTTTAGAGAATGAAAATATTTTCTTTTATGTAATTTGTTTTATTGAAATCCTAGTCCTGTGACCTTTTGTGTTATATTATTATCTGGTAAATAATAAAATCTTTTCTAGTATTAAGTTACACATTATCTGGTAAAAAATGAAATCTTTTCTAGTAAGTTACATGTATATTATTTATTTTTCCCCATGACTACCCCTGTAGGTAAGGGACATGATCTGGTGCTGCATTTTAATGCTCATCGAGAAAAGCTGCTGACAGAAATGATAAATATATACAGTAAAGACCAACAGAAGAGGCTGAAGATTGTTATACATGCCAGAGTTCTAGGTAAGGTTGTTATACATGTCAGAGTTCTAGGTAAGATGGTTATACATGTCAGAGTTCTAGGTAAGGTTGTTATACATGTCAGAGTTCTAGGTAAGATGGTTATACATGTCAGAGTTCTAGGTAAGATTGTTATACATGTCAGAGTTCTAGGTAAGATTGTTATACATGTCAGAGTTCTAGGTAAGATTGTTATACATGTCAGAGTTCTAGGTAAGATGGTTATACACGCCAGAGTTCTAGGTAAGATGGTTATACATGTCAGAGTTCTAGGTAAGGTTGTTATACACGCCAGAGTTCTAGGTAAGATGGTTATACATGCCAGAGTTCTAGGTAAGATTGTTATACATGCCAGAGTTCTAGGTAAGATGGTTATACACGCCAGAGTTCTAGGTAAGATTGTTATACATGTCAGAGTTCTAGGTAAGATTGTTATACATGTTCTAGGTAAGATTGTTATACATGTCAGAGTTCTAGGTAAGATGGTTATACATGTTCTAGGTAAGATTGTTATACATGTCAGAGTTCTAGGTAAGATTGTTATACATGTCAGAGTTCTAGGTAAGATTGTTATACATGTCAGAGTTCTAGGTAAGATTGTTATACATGTCAGAGTTCTAGGTAAGATTGTTATACATGTTCTAGGTAAGATTGTTATACATGTTCTAGGTAAGATTGTTATACATGTCAGAGTTCTAGGTAAGATGGTTATACATGTCAGAGTTCTAGGTAAGATTGTTATACATGTTCTAGGTAAGATTGTTATACATGTCAGAGTTCTAGGTAAGGTTGTTATACATGTCAGAGTTCTAGGTAAGATGGTTATACATGTCAGAGTTCTAGGTAAGATTGATATACATGTCAGAGTTCTAGGTAAGATGGTTATACACGTCAGAGTTCTAGGTAAGATGGTTATACATGTCAGAGTTCTAGGTAAGGTTGTTATACATGTCAGAGTTCTAGGTAAGATTGTTATACATGTCAGAGTTCTAGGTAATCAAACACAACAATGAGAAGTTGTAGTATTTCCAAGGTAATCAGATTGTAATTTTATTAAAAAAAAAAAAAAAGATTGAGGATGCATTGTATTTCATCAGACTGAGTGAAGTGTAATCAACGTAATCATATTATATTTACATTTCCAAATATTTTCCCTTAAGATTCTTTGCAAACTAGAAAAAGTTTACGTTCTCATAAAGTATCGTGGGATGAGTAAGAATATTTCCATTGTGATGTAATTGAAGTAAAAAAATAGTGCAAACTTTTTTTTCAAAAATTATCATTGAATGACAAATATATGTGGCAAGTCATCAGAAAGATAATGTAAATATAAGATATGAATATAATTTTTGAGAATTCATGAGGTACATGAACTACAACGCTTCACGTCTGCATATTCATCATGAAGCACTAACGCGCTTCATGAAATATGCCTGCGTGAAGCGTCATAGTTCATTTCCTCATGAATTCTCAAAATTAAATTCATCTCTTAAATTAATGTAGGTTATACCCAATTAGATTGTAATATATTTCATCATCATCAACTGTTACACCTTGTTGTGTCTAGGGTAGTATTATCCAGAGATTATTACAGTGTATTAACATAAACCAGAGAGATAGCTAGATCATATGATCATCAAAGAAATCACTGCTGATTCAGTAAAAAGCCATTCCGGCACACAGAGTCTGTAATGCTTGCACACGTGTACCATTATGTAGGAATGTGTTTAATGAGAGTTAACCTATATATCAAACAGTATAAACCAATCAGTCATTATGTCTCCTGTATGCTTATGGTTTACCATTGAAGGTAAAGGAAAAGGGACTCCAGCATTGAAGAATGGAATCAAATGTTACAAAGTTGATACGGATGAGGACTCGGATGCACACAGTGACTGGCAGGGATTCTAAACAATGCACAAATCAGATTGGACAATGCCCAGTTTAGTATTACTAGTATGATCCTCAGATTGAGTATTCTCGCTAACAATTTAGAGCATTTTGTGTAGAAATCTAGATGGAGATTATATGACAATTGATATTTTGATGATTAATTAATTGTTTTATTGATTAATATTTTTTTTTGTTCAGGAATTCTTTATACATGTAGTTGAATTGTAGATATTTTAAAAGTATTCAATTAAACAGAACATTGGTTGTTCTATAATGTGTCCATTACAATAGTCAGATAGAAAACTGGGCCCAACTCAATATGAAATCTGTTGGTTATGATTTCATTCAATATATGTAGGTCTTCCAAAAATAGCTTCTGTATGCCCACTGGCTTTTATTTATAGTAAAATCTGTCAGATGTAACAAAAAGTGCCTAAAAGATTCCAGAAAATCTGGATTTTCATGCTCAGAATGTAATTCAGAGACCAGCATTTATACTCCTGCAGATGTGATGCATCTGAGTTTGTATACAGCCATACAGATATTGTCATGTGGGGAAAGCTAAGAACTCTTACATGATGAAAAAGAAAGTTAACTCTTTAATAGACTTTTTTTTTTTAACTTTTTAAAAGATACATGTACAGCGATTCAAAAAAACAAAAACAAAAAAACAACAACAACAAAAACAAACAATATACATATAATGTTACAGACTTTATTGTTACAATAGCCCTGAATTCTGCTAAAAAGATTTTTCACACCTGATAGTATATAAAAAAAGTATCAAGTTTGAGTTTCAGTTTCTGAAAGCATGTACATTGTGTTGTAAATTACATGTATTAAAAAATATTCAAATTTCTTTACATTTGCATTTCAGGTTTTTATTCATTATCATGATTATACAAGAAAAACTTGCATGTACTTTTGACATCCTTATTTTCTTTCCCCACCGATATTTATTATTTTAGTACAGATATGTATTATTAATATACCATGTTATGCAGACAGAAAATTATCCCGGTACATTCTGAAGTTTTCATTTTACCATTTCATGCAGTCTTTGAAGTTGGCCTTAATTTATGGATAAAAATGTTTTGCTTAGATGTGAACTAATTTTGAAAACATTTTTTAATGTTTTTTTTTTAGCAATTGCTAAATTCTCCACTTTATTTGATTTAACCATTTCAACTTTTATTGCAAAATACATGTAGGTACTAGGGTTCACAGTGATACATGCTAAGTGACATCTTTCTGGAAGTGTACTGGTTTATTTATATCTATACATTGCTGAGTACTGTAGGTGAGGGTTTTACACCCCTGAAAACAAATGCACATATGCATGCAAACTTTCTGTAAAATCCTTTTTTTTTAAGTACTGGCACATGTACATTGATCAGTTTTTTAAGTGAGCCAGGTATGAACTGAATAGTAAAAAAGGTACTGTTTTGTTAAGCTATAAACACAGTCTGCATCTCTTTTCTGTTTTAATGAACATCTTACTGTTCACATCCCTTTTTTGTGGTGAACATTGAAATATTCCTAGGCTGTAGTTTATTTTAAGCTCATACTATCTAGTTTTCAATGTGTGGTACCAGTACATGTGATGTACACACATTACGAAGATCTATATATTATGATATTTATACAGTACATGTTGTATGTTTCTATTTTTTAAAAATGCTCTATGCATTTCCTGTCAATATTCTAAGATAAGATGTTGAGATATATATTGGAGTTGGTTATACTGTCATTGTATCTGCATGCCAAGGTTTAGTATTGTAGATACAATTGTAGAATTTAATGTCAGTTTTGTAGTTTAAACTGAACAAATATACTGTATAAATTGTGTTTTGGGTTGGTGAATTTCTGTGTACCTGCCAATATTTAGATTTATTATGTTTTTTGTTTGTTTTCATTATCAATTATGCTTGTTTTGTAAGATTTTTTCTTATTTTTAGCAGCAGATATATTTTGATATTAATTTACAACATTTTCCAGTGAATTCCAGTTTAAGTTTAGTTTAGGTTCTCTAACAGTCTATAAAAACTTGTACTAATAAATAGATTCCCCTGTTTAGTTTCTGACAACTGCTGTATATTTCTTTCTAATGTGAGCTTTAGTTAGTTTTTTAGCTTGTGTTCAGTTAATGTAGAGAACTGATATTTCGTTGACAGTGTTAATGAATCACAGAATGACCTATTAGATAATAGGATCCTAAGTAAACTCGGTCACTGGATAAAATCCAAAGCTTTATAATATTTCCGAGTATAAATTATTTATTAAATGCAAATCTTGCTATATTGCATCATATGCAGTTTTATAGTTGGATGGAATGATTAAAAATTATTTTAATAGACATATTAAGTTATTCAGAACCATTACGGCAGTTAACTGTCATCTACTGATAAGAGTAAATTACCAAAAAACGAGATCAATAAGACCCTTCTAATTTTCAATCAAATAATGCTGGCCTAAATTAAATTCAGAATATGTGTTTAAAATTTACGTCTGAAGAGATCTGAATTTCACCAAATTATCTTTGATATTTGGCTCCCTTTTAATCCTCTCCTTAGTTAATGGCTGCACATCATATGTTGGTCTCAGATCAGGATAACTGGGGACATCATGTAAAAAAAAAAAAGAAAAAGGAAAAAGGGATGGTGTCATTAAAAGTACAAATTTTTTAGCTCATTCCAGCATTTAGTCTAATGGAGGTCTATAATATATGTAAATCATATTTATATATACTGTTTTGTAAAGTAATGGGATGTGGGAATGTTTAATATTGATATATCTTTATATAAGTACTTAGTTTGTCAAAGTAGTAGTTTGTTTATCTAGAAGTGATTAAAATTGTATGCAAGAAAAGTGTTACTGAGTTATATATGAACACAAACAGCTGTAACATAAAGTACAAACAGCTGTAACGTAAATTACTATGCATGCTAAATTGATTTCTGCCCACATTTTACACCCATTCAACATTAATGGCAATTTGGCCATTAAAACATTTGAATGCGAACAATAATAATTTTAATACCAGTGTCATAAAATTAATTGCTCTTAATTGTAATCTCATCTGAAATTGGTAATAAAGTGAACATTTTCTCTGTGTTTTTGTCTATAAGGCCATCTTCAAAAAATTGTTTGGTTGCTCTCTCCCGAGCGACAGGCCAAAAATATCTTGACTCCAATTAAAAATCAACCTCCTTTTTTTTTCTTTAGCATTTTGGAAAAAAAAATTTGAAAATTGAGCATCGAAATTTTCTTAGGTCTCAAAAACATTCTCGCCTACCTACCAATCCAATTATTTTCATCCTGAGTCGGGAGAGGGCGAACAAACATTATTTTAAAGTTGACCTAAACATGTCATTTTTGCTTGTCAAAAATTTCTGTTGGATTGCCCCCCCCCCCTTCTTTCCGAAAAAAACCCTGAAATTATATGTTCATGCGTCGTGCATAAATTATAATCGGGATCGGGTGGTAAATTCAATCGGAATCGACGTACATGGCAAAATCAAAACAAAATGCAGAATGAGGGAAATAAAGTTTTCATTAATCATTTGAAACAGAAATTTAGTGGATATATCGTAATTTTCTCATTGTTTGTGCGACAGATTCAGTCAGATGCCATAGTGGTTACGTTTGACACGATAATTTCGACAACATCAAGTCAGTTTTTAGGTATCACGCTTGATTCTGGGCTTATCCAGCACAAGTGGGACAAACTTAACTTAAGGTAACGTACTCTATTCTTATATCGTCTCCTTAACAAATCAAAATTTCAGATATATGTATATATATGGGTGGCTTTATTATGCAAGAAAGTGGAAGTGCTCCTTTACAATTTTTTTTAATTAAATTTAAATTTAGGAAATCTTTTAGATGGGTGTTGTGACCTTGGTGACAGTCATATAATTTTGCACAGATCTGATATAAACAAGTTTATTAAAGAAAGAGGTAGATGTACAAATCTAGCAGCATTTTAATTTCAATACTATTTGGGACCTTTATACACTACTTACACAGGCTGGGTTGGACACTGGTACTTTGTACTTGTATTCTTCCCATACCAAGTTGTTGTTTTAAAATTACTGGTAATTAATTTACCATTTCATTAAATACCAGTTTCAGTATTGGTATTTAATATTTGTTGAACAAAACTGACTACTTTCGAACAAGATGTTTATAAAGTCATAGATAAATATGTTAACATACATACTGAAATAACATTTCTTATATACCCCATACATTGGTAGCTCCAGCAGGTATCGTTAAAAAGTACCGTATCATTTCAAAAATACTGATATGGTATTATAACATTTCATCTTTGACAGTATCCAACATTTGGTGTATTCCTTTACAGTGCATGTTAAATAATTTAGTATGGAAATGTTTTAATTGAAAGCCCTGCTACCACTTGTTGCAATATGTTGTACATAATGTACAAACTCCCACATTGATATATTAAAAAAAAAATGAAAAGAGAGAGTTGTCTCTGCAGGGGAATCAAGCTGGGTCTGATTTGTTCAATAGTTTTTATCTACTCCCTCATAAAAAATTTCTGCATGTATGCATGATGTTAGTTTCCAAACAGTGATGTATATACATATCTAAAAACTCCCCTTTGCAGTTCTCCAAAAGTATTAACTTTGGCTAAAGGTCTTTCACCGTACACCAATACGTACCTGAGGCTTGGTGGAACAGCAGCTGATTTCTGTACTTTCACCTTATCAGATGTCAAGGTCACGCAGCAGCATGTCGGAAAGTTGGAGGGGCATGATCTATTATATGAATTCCTTAGAAATAAACACAAAAATTTTACAGAGTTCTATATGACAGGTAGGTATATGTTGATACATGTATTATTCTTCTGTATCAAGCAATAATGAATATACATGTATATGATGATAATTTTTTAAAGTACTGATGGATGTTATATTACCGGTACTCTTCTTAATTCAATTAAACTGAGTTACTAGGTTGTAAAATTCTTGAAATTATTATATAAAAGTGTTGCCAGCATTTAAATCGCCAATGGATTACAGGGATAATTTAGACCACAATCTTAAATGCAGCTATGTATAGTATGAGCTTCATTGCATGCATGAATGGTGGTGATTAATGTGAATTATACGTCTTACAGCTAGAACGTGGGATGAAATCCATGAATTTGTTCAGAAGGCCAAATTGGACTTGATTTTTGACCTCAATGTTCTTCTACGAACAAATCATAACCATTGGAACAGCTCAAATGCAGAACTATTACTGAAATACACACAGTTTAAAGGCTACAGAATGGCAGGCTGGGAACTGGGAAATGGTAAACAAAATCATTGTAGGTTAAGATCAGCTTCAGAAAGTGTCACATCAATAAAATTTTGTGTTAAAGTCAGTAAACTTTTGAAAGGAGTGGACTTGCAGAGGATACAGTGACTTATGAAAGCATACCCCCAGTACTTGTACTTGTTTTCCTATATAAAATGCTCAAAATCTCAAGGTCTTTAACTTATGAGGACTGACAGTGAAGTTAAAGATATGTAGGGTTTGAGATGATGAAGTTTAGATTGTACATTAAAGGAAATGTAGAACTGTAAATTCATTTATTTGAAGTATAATAATTATTATTATGTTTGAGACCCAATGTTTGTGTGAACTTATATATAAGTTCAGAGAAAAATTGGGTCTCAGACATCAGGCTCCGGGGCCATAAAACTTAGACGAGCTCACTTTTGATCTCAGTCTCACTTTTACCAAAGGAATTAATAGTGGCAAATTGAGACTGAGATTAAATGTGAGCTCATCTAAGTTTTATGGCCTCGGAGTTTAACTTTGCACATGTTTCATTCACTGTCTCTCATGTGTAAGTGATTGAGAATCTAAAATTATTCCACACTTGGTCCAAATGAAGTTAAATCAAAGTTGTATAAAACAGCAAAAATAAAGGGGGGGGGGGTTAAAAACTTAATCCCTTGTATTTCATAAAACACTTTTGTCAGTTAAAATACCATTTTCCTTTTTTGCACACACACACACACATATATAATTATATATATATATATATATATATATATATATATATATATATATATATATATATATATATATATATATATATATATATATATATATATATATATGTAATGTTTTTGTTTTTAATATGTAAATACGTTATTGTTATAAATAAAAGATGAATTGAATTTTTGTTATAAGAAAGGCCCTAACCATGGAGCCTGATTAGTGCCCTAATCTTGGAGCCTAATTAGCACCCTAATTATGGTGCCTAATAGATGTTCTAAATGTATTAGGTGTCTTGACACCTTACAATGGTGCAGCGGCCCGAATACTTGGAGCCTAATGCCCTAACGGGTGCCCTAATCATGGAGCCTAATGCCCTAACAGGTGCCCTGATCATGGAGCCTAACGCCCTAACAGGTGCCCTAACTATGGAGCCTAATGCCCTAACGGGTGCCCTAATGACGTTAGGTGTCAGACAGAGTATATATAAGGAGAGAGAGAGAGAGCGAAGAAACAGATAGCTTGTACTTGATATGTAAACTGCGTTTGGATATTATTATACTCGTTGAAGCAAAACTCTGCTGTAACAGTTGTTGTTTTTTTTATTAGATCTATAAAGATCTATAGTTCCTAACTTAAACACAGGATCCACAATATTTTGTGACACAGGGACGTTGTGAATATAGTCACTTCTTAAGGCCTGGTTCTTAGAGCTATCGTCCGGATAAATCCCGAAAAACGTCATATATATATATATATATATATATATATATATATATATATATATATATATATATATATATATATATATATATATCTATCTATCTATCTATCTATCTATATATATATATATATATATATATATATATATATATATATATTCCATTTGATGAGAGCTTGATTTTTATGTCTAGATAAACTCACAAAATTTTATGTAAAGTTCTTTATTTACAGTCATCATTATTGTGGCACTTCAATAAGTTCATAGGGAGCTCAATAAAAAAGCCAACATGCTATTTATCAATGAATGATTTTATCTTTTCAAAGTAAAAGGCTTTTTATTCCAGAGCCCAATAGCTTTCACCATTTGAATTCTTCCATAAATGTAACAGCAGAGAGTCTAGGACAAGCTTATTTTCAGCTTTCACAGATGTTGGCCAAATTTCCCACAATTCATGGAAGAATTTTCACAGGGCCAAGCACTACACAGCTGAACAAAAAGCCTACAATACGTTATTTTTCAGAGTAAGTCAACTGTCTCATCGTATTGTAGTCACTATAGAACATAGTATAATATTCTGTAAACCTGACTCTCTCATGCAAGTATTCAGCATACTGCCATAGTATATTATTAGGTACACAGTCAGGTCAGATGTAATTTGAGTCATCCAATGAATGTGTGAAATACAAATCTGTATATTGTGTATCATACTTACTATAAACATTTAAAGTTATACGTACCTGTTCATTTTAAGTATTACGTAAATTTACTTGGAGGAACTTTTCAGAGGACATCATCATTATAAAATGTAGTAAGATGTGTAGATAGGATAGATCAACACTGCTTGCCATGCTACAAAATGCAATACTGTAACAGTATAAAAAGGTGTTACAACAAAAATGAACATTTTTTCATATTGTACATGGAGTTTCATAAAATCTGTCCCCATTGCAATTGCCTGTAAAATCTTAAATCATATTTTAAAAATTAAAACATGATTCTAAAGAAGTTTTTAAGAACAGAAGCAATTTTGTACCTTGGAAAAAATCAGATTTTTAAAAAAAATGTTATGCTTTCATATCTGACTTCTTAAACAACACAACATTTCGGTGTCTCTATATAAAGAAGAAAGTGTCGAATGCTGCTGTACTATGAAGTGATTCACCAATTGTTATTAGGATGATCACAAAATATATCCAAATCAGAGAGAAAATCAAGAAAAAAAGATTTAGTGCATTGTAAAAAAACACATTTGAAATTAAAGCATTCAAACTGCAGTGATAATAATTTCAGACCATGGTGTTTAAAACTCTTATATCACGAAGATGACATCATTTAGAACGCATAATGTAAAACTAACTTTTTTGCTTTTTGGAAGATGGCTTAATCAATTGCATTTTGAAGGAAAATTACAAAAGCACATTACGGGAAAAATGTTGAATTCAAATTATCTGCATTTATTAAAACCTTTAAAATCAATATATCTCACTGATGTATTTCTATATCAGTTTTGTAATGGGGACAGATATTAGTATGTCAGTATTATGAAAACCCATTATCATTACCTGGGGCTTAAATGTCCAATGGATATATTTCTTATTTTCGTTTTCTTGACAGAAAATTAATTTGTTGTTAATTTTTGCAGTTTCCTGAAAACACCTGGTGGAGGAAAAGTGACATCTCCAAACTTTCATCAGTAAGTGTGGTATATAAACATCAGTAAGTGTGGTATATAAACATACCTGCACTTCAGTCAGGTGTAGTATATAAACATACCTGTACATCAGACAGGTGTAGTATATAAACATACCTGTACATCAGACAGGTGTAGTATATAAATATACCTGTACACCAGACAGGTTAGTATATAAACATACCTTTACTTCAGACAGGTGCAGTATATAAATATACCTTTACTTCAGACAGGTGTAGTATATAAACATACCTTTACTTCAGACAGGTGAAGTGTATAAACATACCTGTATATCAGACAGGTGTAGTATATAGACATATCTGTACTTCAGACAGGTGTAGTATATAAACATACCTGTACTTCTGACAGGTGTAGTATATAAATATACCTTTACTTCAGACAGGTGTAGTACATAAACATACCTGTACTTCAGACAGGTGTAGTATATAAACACACCTGTACATCAGACAGGTGTAGTATATAAACATACCTGTACTTCAGACAAGTGTAGTATATAAACATACCTGTACATCAGACAGGTGTAGTATATAAACATACCTGTACATCAGACAGGTGTAGTATATAAACATACCTGCACTTCAGACAGGTGTAGTATATAAACATACCTGTACTTTTGACAGGTGTAGTATATAAACATACATTTACTTCAGACAGGTGTAGTATATAAACATACCTGTACTTCAGACAGGTGTAGTATATTAACATACCTGTACATCAGACAGGTGTAGTATATAAACATACCTGTACATCAGACAGGTGTAGTATATAAATATACCTGTACATCAGACAGGTTAGTACATAAACATACCTCTACTTCAGACAGGTGCAGTATATAAATATACCTTTACTTCAGACAGGTGTAGGATATAAACATACCTTTACTTCAGACAGGTGAAGTGTATATACATACCTATATATCAGACAGGTGTAGTATATAGACATATCTGTACTTCAGACAGGTGTAGTATATAAACATACCTGTACTTCTGACAGGTGTACTATATAAATATACCTTTACTTCAGACAGGTGTAGTACATAAACATACCTGTACTTGAGACAGGTGTAGTATATAAACATACCTGTACATCAGACAGGTGTAGTATATAAACATACCTGTACATCAGACAGGTGTAGTATATAAACATGCCTGCACTTCAGACAGGTGTAGTATATAAACATACCTGTACTTCAGACAGGTGTAGTATATAAACATATCTGCACTTCTGACAGGTATAGTATATAGACATACCTGTACTTCAGACAGGTGTAGTATATAAACATACCTGTACTTCAGACAGGTGTAGTATATAAACATACCTGTACATCAGACAGGTGTAGTATATATAAACATACCTGTACATCAGACAGGTGTAGTATATAAATATACCTGTACATCAGACAGGTTAGTACATAAACATACCTCTACTTCAGACAGGTGCAGTATATAAATATACCTTTACTTCAGACAGGTGTAGGATATAAACATACCTTTACTTCAGACAGGTGAAGTGTATATACATACCTGTATATCAGACAGGTGTAGTATATAGACATATCTGTACTTCAGACAGGTGTAGTATATAAACATACCTGTACTTCTGACAGGTGTAGTATATAAATATACCTTTACTTCAGACAGGTGTAGTACATAAACATACCTGTACTTGAGACAGGTGTAGTATATAAACATACCTGTACATCAGACAGGTGTAGTATATAAACATACCTGTACATCAGACAGGTGTAGTATATAAACATGCCTGCACTTCAGACAGGTGTAGTATATAAACATACCTGTACTTCAGACAGGTGTAGTATATAAACATACCTGTACTTCAGACAGGTGTAGTATATAAACATACCTTTACTTCAGACAGGTGTAGTATATAAACATACCTGTACATCAGACAGGTGTAGTATATAAACATATCTGCACTTCAGACAGGTGTAGTATATAAACATACCTGTACATCAGACAGGTGTAGTATATAAACATACCTGTACATCAGACAGGTGTAGTATATAAACATACCTGTACATCAGACAGGTGTAGTATATATAAACATACCTGTACATCAGACAGGTGTGGTATATTAGCATACCTGTACTTCAGACAGGTGTAGTATATAAACATATCTGTACTTCAGACAGGTGTAGTATATAAACATACCTGTACATCAGACAGGTGAAGTATATAAACATACCTGTACATCAGACAGATGAAGTATATAAACATACCTGTACTTCAGACAGGTGTAGTATGTAAACATACCTGTACTTCAGACAGGTGTAGTATATAAACATACCTTTACTTCAGACAGGTGTAGTATATAAACATACCTGTACATCAGACAGGTGTAGTATATAAACATACCTGTACTTCAGACAGGTGTAGTACATAAACATACCTGTACTTCAGACAGGTGTAGTATATAAACACACCTGTACTTCAGACAGGTGTAGTATATAAACATACCTGTACTTCAGACAAGTGTAGTATATAAACATACCTGTACATCAGACAGGTGTAGTATATAAACATACCATTACTTCAGACAGGTGTAGTATATAATCATACCTTTACTTCAGACAGGTGTAGTATATAAACATACCTTTACTTCAGACAGGTGTAGTATATAAACATACCTTTACTTCAGACAGGTGTAGTAAATAAACATAACTTTACTTCAGACAGGTGTAGTATATAAACATACCTGCACTTCAGACAGGTGTAGTATATAAACATACCTGTACTTCAGACAGGTGTAGTATATTAGCATACCTGTACATCAGACAGGTGTAGTATATAAACATACCTGTACATCAGACAGGTGTAGTATATAAATATACCTGTACATCAGACAGGTTAGTATATAAACATACCTCTACTTCAGACAGGTGTAGTATATAAACATACCTGCACTTCAGACAGGTGTAGTATATAAACATACCTGTACTTCAGACAGGTGTAGTATATTAGCATACCTGTACATCAGACAGGTGTAGTATATAAACATACCTGTACATCAGACAGGTGTAGTATATAAATATACCTGTACATCACACAGGTTAGTATATAAACATACCTCTACTTCAGACAGGTGCAGTATATAAATATACCTTTTCTTCAGACAGGTGTAGTATATAAATATACCTTAACTTCAGACAGGTGAAGTGTATAAACATACCTGTATATCAGACAGGTGTAGTATATAGACATATCTGTACTTCAGACAGGTGTAGTATATAAACATACCTGTACTTCTGACAGGTGTAGTATATAAACATACCTGTACATCAGACAGGTGTAGTATATAAACATACCTGTACTTCAGACAAGTTTAGTATATAAACATACCTGTACATCAGACAGGTGTAGTATATAAACATACCTGCACTTCAGACAGGTGTGGTATATAAACATACCTGTACATCAGACAGGTGTAGTATATAAACATACCTGTACATCAGACAGGTGTAGTATATAAACATACCTGCACTTCAGACAGGTGTAGTATATAAACATACCTTTAACAACCCCCCCCCCCCCAACAAAAAAATGGAGAAGAGGGCTACATTATTGCAGATAATTTATACCTGAGCTTCAGACAGGTGTGGCATATAACATACTTGTACTTCAGAAAGTTATAATATAAAGCATATCTGTACTCAGGGTTCTCCACATTTGAAAATTTAACCAAGGCGGGAGCTGCACGAAAGGGAAATGTGATCAAAAGCACAACTATGTGTTAGACCCTCTATTAAGATTGATCAGTGATTGATTTCACAAAACTTAACCATTGCAAAACAAAAAATTGAAATAACCTCCCAAAAAATGTAGAAAAGCAACAACAACAAAAAACCAAAAAAAAAAATTTAAAAAAAATGAATGAATTAAATAAATAAATGAATAAATAAATAAGATAAATTAAAATTTAAAATGAAATAAAATTTAATTTAAAAAAAGGATTATGTATCTTACTTTACATAATTACCTAATGTACCAAAGTAGGAGTGTTTTAAAAGAGTTTTAATTGTTTTTTTTTTTTTTAATTTAATATTGTAACCATTGCAACAATGTTCAACGAATTTTATTCAAAAACTTATATACAGAATTGATCTTGACTGTTGCATGACAAGTTTTATTTAAATAGTACCAAAACTGATGAAGTTTTGAAGTTAAGCCATCTAAGGATAAAGTACATTGAATAGTGCCTTCTGAAGCTATACCATTTCATTTTATACCCAAGCTAATTAGTAAAAGAATTTACTGTACCAGCTTTTGTTCCACATTGTACTTACAGATACTATGTCAACGGAAGAACTGCTACGGTAAATGATTTCACAAACTCTGAAATCCTGGATAGTTTTGAGGATGAGCTTAAAACTGGGAACAGGGTTATCCAAGGAATGGGGGAAAAGAGGAAACTGTGGCTGGGAGAGACCAGCTCGGCTTATGGAGGGGGAGCAGAGGGGCTCTCAGACGCATTCGTGGCTGCTTTCATGTATGTACAGAATAGTTTTACAGTTATATTTTGTAAATTTGAAAGTAAAATTTGTAGAAAATTGCATAACAAAATCCAAATACATACAGTAAAATTCATTATACTGATATAGATTGAATTATGGATATAGCAAAGAAAATTCACCGGTCCCAAGGAATTCACTTGAATTGAGTTCTACTGCATTGCTTGGGACTGGTGAATTTACTCCGCTATATCAGTAATTCAATATATCAGTATATGGAATTTGTTAAATTATATATTGAGATTTCTCAATAAATGTTTTCCTTCAAGTTTGACTTCCGAATGTTTAAGGAATATTAAATAAAAAACTTACCTTGAGGACTAAAGTTTTCTGATGAACTAAATTAATTTTCAAATATAAATAGCCTACTTACAAAAATAATGTCAGTTCAATATTTTAAATTTTAAGATCTTAAAATATTTGTGAAAAAAGATGCAAATTTTGTTATTTTTAACCTCCACAGTACACAGAGTGAATTCTCTATATCTGTAAAACATTATATCAGAGTTCATAAAGAACATTGATGTAGCAAAGTTTTTTTTTTTTTGATCCCTGGCAAAATTCTTAACAATTCCTGGAAAAATTTTAGTCATAAAGACCGGAGAATTTTTCAAGGAATTGTCAAGAATTTTGCCTGGGATCCATAAAAACTTTGCTATATCTGTGTTCGTACTAAATGAGATTTACTGTATACAGGCGAACCTTGTTATATCAAACTTAATGGGACAGTGACATAACTTCAAGGTAATTGAGGATTTGAAACTCCCTAATAAGTGGCATGGACTATAATCTCACTTGGACATATCAATGGTGTTCGGGATATCAAAGTTTGAGATACATTAGTTCAACTGTACCTTAAGGACATACACAACGTAGTTTGAACTTTATTGTCTTTTTCCCTGGAGTTGAAGAGTTCCCATACTTAAAGGAATCGAGTGCTACATTTATTGTCTATATATGCTGTTGTACACTTCTTCTAAAACAAGTTTGGATAAACAAAACATCTAGAATATGTGTTAAGTAATTTTTGTGTATTTTTCTTTGAATTATACAAGAATTTTCATCAATTGATATCTTTTCAAAACCCCTGGTAATGCATGTTGATTTTTTGTCGACGAACATCTGATGGCACTATAATCTTAAATTAAGAATATTTTGAAAAATTATCAGTAGGTAAGGTACGTTGCGTATGTCCTTAAATTCAAACAATTTTGAGAGAAAATTTATTTATTGTACATTGTTATATAATTTCACTCATTAGGTCAAGGAATATTTAACTATGCAAAGAAGGGACATTTATTCTTTCATAGATGATAATGGATGGGTCATGGTTGATGGGATGAATAGAGTAAAACTTTAATTTTCTTGGTATATTGTAGACTGGAAATTAATAGAATGCTTATAATTCCACTATGTTCATGATTATCATTTTCTGTAAAATTAAACCAATAGCAAATAAGTTTATAAGTTAACATTTTAAAAATATCTGCCTAGAGGCACAAACCAATAGTATGAAAGTAAAGCCTATTGCAAGTGGTACCTTTGTAACAATTTTGAAATTTTAGCACCATGGAATTCAAATCACTTGTAGTTTAAGGTTGTTAGTTCTGTCATTATTAACATATTTCATCACTGCTATTGTCTGTAGGTGGCTAGACAAGCTGGGTATGGCCGCTAAGAACAATGTCAACGTTGTCCTGAGACAGAGCTTCTATGGTGGTAAATACGCCCTGTTAGATGCCACAACAGTGGACCCAAATCCTGTAAGACAATGCTTTAAACGTCATTTTAAGATACGCTGTAATTGGTATTTTTATTTTTCCAGAACTTTTCTTGCTTTTTAGGTCACCTGAGTCACTCAGGTGACCTATTGCTATCTGTTTTCGTCCCTTGTCGTCCGTCGTGCGTTGTGCGTCATGTGTTACTATTTGAACATTTTCAGCTTCTTCTCTGAAACCGCTGAACCAATTTCAGCCAATTTTAGCATATGGCATCTATGTGTGAAGGGGAACAAAATTTGTGAATTTCATGATCCTTGTCCCCCTGGGGCCTGAGGGGCTGGGCTAAAACCACCAGAATTAATGCAATCTTTAAAAATCTTCTTCTTTTGCTCCTGGACATCAAGCAGTTAAAGTGTTGACATGGTTGTAATGAGCATTGAGCCCTCTACCAAAATTGTGAAATTCATGGCCCCAGGGTCAGGGGTTCTGGTGCTAGGGCGGGGCTATATAGATCATATAGTGAAAGTGCATTATTTCTTTGAAAATCTTCTTCTCTACTCATGGGTATTATTTAAACAAATTGAATACATAGTTATGATGAGCCAGGGTGACGCTACCAAAATTGTGAAATTCATGGTCCCAGGGTCGGGGGTTCTGGTGCTAGGGCGGGGCTATATAGATCATATAGTGAAAGTGCATTATTTCTTTGAAAATCTTCTTCTCTACTCCTGGGTATTATTTAACAAATTAAGTACATAGTTATGATAAGCAAGAATGACTCTACCAAAATTGTGAAATTCATAGCCCCAGGGTCAGGGGTTCTGGTGCTGGGGGGAGGGGGGGGGGAGGGCTATATAGATCATATAGTGAAAGTGCATTATTTCTTTGAAAATCTTCTTCTCTACTCATGGGTATTATTTAAACAAATTGAATACATAGTTATGATGAGCAAGAGTGACTCTACCAAAATTGTGAAATTCATAGCCCCAGGGTTCGGAGTTCTGGTGCTAGGACGGGGCTATATAGAACATATAGTGAAAGTGCATTATTTCTTTGAAAATCTTCTTCTCTACTCCTGGGTATTATTTAAACAAATTAAATACATAGTTATGATAAGCAAGAGTGACTCTACTAAAATTGTGAAATTCATAGCCCCAGGGTCAGGGGTTCTGGTGCTGGGGAAGGGGGGGGGGGGGCTATATAGATCATATAGTGAAAGTGCATTATTTCTTTGAAAATCTTCTTCTCCACTCCTGGGTATTATTTAAACAAATACATAGTTATGATGAGCAAGAGTGACTCTACCAAATTGTGAAATTCATAGCCCCAGGGTTAGGGGTTCTGGTGCTAGGGTGGGGCTATATAAATCATATAATGAAAGTGCATTATTTCTTTGAAAATCTTCTTCTCTACTCCTGGGTATTGTTGAACCAAATTGAATACATAGTTATGATAAGCAAGGTTGACTCTACCAAAATTGTGAATTTCATGGCCCCTGGATCAGGGGTTCTGATGTTAGGGCAGGGCTCTATTTATTATATAGTGAAAATGCATTAATGCTTTTAAAAATCTTCTTCTCTGCTCCTGGGTATTATTTAAACAAACTAAGTACATTGTTATGATAAGCAAGGATGCCTCTTTCAAAATTGTGAAATTCATGGCCCCAGGGACAGGGTTCTGGTGCTAGGGTGGGGCTATATAGCTCCTATAGTGAAGATGAATTATTTCTTTGAAAATCTTCTTCTCTGCTTCTGGGTACTATTTAAACAAACTAAGTGCATTGTTATGATATGCAAGGATGCCTCTTCCAAAATTGTGAATTTCATGGCCCCAGGGTAAAGGGTTCTGGTGAAAAGGTGGGGGGGGGGGGGGGGGGCTGTATTGATTTATATAGTGAAAAAGCAAAATTTCTTTGAAAATATTCTTTTCTGCTTCTGGTTAAAAGCAAAGAAGCTAAGTATATAGTTATGCTGAGCAAGAGTGCTTCTTCCAGAGTATTGAATTGCATGACCCCTGGGTCAGATGTGCTGGTATAAGGGTGGGGCTCTTGATAATATAGTGAAAATGCATTAATTCTATTAAATAATCCTGTCTAAGCAGATAAACAAAGTGATTACTTATGATGAGCAAACTTCTGGTCCCAGGGTGAGAGGCTCTGGTGTTTCTTGGTGGGGAGTGGGGGGGGGGGGGGCGGCTCTATTGATAATATAGTGAATCTGTAGTAAAAATTATTTCTTTAAAAATTTTCTCTGCATTTGGGCATATCAGAGGCAAAAAAGAGTAAAAGTTTTGATAAGGAAGGGAACTTTTACCAGATTTTTGAACATCTGGACCATTTGGTCAAGAGTTCTGGTCCTGGCCAGGGCTCTATTAATTTGTATTCTACTGAGAGGAGTTATTCCCCTTTGCCATTTACTTTTGATAATTAATCACTGTAGTCTGTAAATAATGTACTTGAAAGGTTAATAGAATAAGAGAATTATGCAAGAATTTTTATTGTATAATACAAAAAGTATTTTCATAGTTTTAATGATCAGGTGGACTTGTAAGTAATAGATAAATAAAAATGAGACAAAAATAACTTGTCTTATTAAATGTTCATCAAAGACCAAGAGAGGCCTATGTAAGATATTTCAACAAGGAATTAAAATAGTACAGAAGCACTGATAGTTTGCAAATATACTGTATGGTGATAGTGATAAATGGGGAACAGATTAGAACCTAATTTATGAACTATTAATGAATACTAGACTAATTATTTTGTTGATCTTGATCACTCTATTTTTCTTGCTTTTGGGCAACAAAGCTTCACCTTTCATTTCATTTTATACTCTATGGATCCTCAAAATTGTTGCATTATACTCAGGTGACCATTAAGGCCCTTGGGCCTCTTGTTTGATAAATAACTTGTACAATTCCTGTGTAGGATTACTGGTTGACCCTGCTGTACAAACAACTTGTTGGAAATGATGTCCTCAATATAACTTCCTCCTCAAGCTCTCGGGATGTCAGGTTTTATGCTCACTGTTCTTCTGAGAGGTAATTATTATAAACATTATATATGAATAAAGTACTTAACTGTCAAACACCTGCCACACACTAAAAGAGCAAAGTAGGAAAAAAACTGTCAATACAATTAGACATGTTTTCAAAATAAGTCAGAATCTTAGTATTTGTGTATGACAAATAAAAAAAAAAAGACTACTAAATGCTACAGAGCTACAGAGCAAGTATGCTGTCGGTTTCAGGTTTCCTCTGGGATCAGTAACATTATACGGTATGAATCTACTCTCTGATGGAGTTAATGTGACATTTCCACAGCTGGATGGACAGCTGAAAATTTATCTCCTGACGGCCCCAAACCAAGATCTTAAGTCCAGGTATTTTCTGTTTAGAATATTGTATTTGGCTATTATATAATATTTATAGGTAGTGATGCTTTTCTTCTTTCATTCAATTCATTGAACAGGTTGTTCTTAAATACCTAACTTTTTTAAAATTATTATTTTTCAAATTCAATCATATCAGGTCCTAAAAGAAATGAATATTAAGAAAGTGTCATTTATTTTATTTAATAAAAATTATTCATTATAGTGTTAATTATGTTTCTGACTATATCTATTGTTTCGGCATTTTATAATGTACTTTGATTTGTGGGTCAACCTTACCCAGACAATCAATATCTTTGTCCACGTATTGTTCATTGTATCTTCTGTATATATTAGTGTACCACGAAATTACGTTGTATATACAAATGTTCAAGTGTACCACGAAATTACGTTGTATATACAAATGTACAAGTGTACCACAAAATTACGTTGTATATACAAATGTACAAGTGTACCTCGAAATTACATCCCTATGAACCAATTGATTTTTTGCAACCCACAAACATTGAACCCCCACTAATTAAAATGATTCCACGGTAAGCTTAACTTCTAGAAAACAGTGTTTGCACTGACCATTTTCCTGATTTTCCTTCACTAACACTTGCTCTGATGGTAAGATATTATACTGATGGTATGATGTGATGTAAAACAAGTTCAACCTTGTGATAGATTTGAAATAAATATTTTCATAATCATAGAGCTACAATATTGAAGTTAAAAGATTTTCAAATTTGAAATTTGTCCACATCAAAATGTATTGTTTATAGGTATTTATTTGTGTGAAAAGAAGTCTGATTGCTGTATTTTACCATATTTTCTTTAAAAGTTTATCAAAATATATTTGACACAATCCACCAGCCATTAATATGTGTATTATATTTTCTGTTAAGATTTGTGAATTTGAATGGAGTTACCTTGAAGATGACCTCTGACACCAGTTTGCCGCAGTTGACCCCAAGGTCAGACACCAGTCCTCTGTACCTGCCACCATTTTCCTATGTGTTCATTGTGGCTGATGGAAAGACATATAGTAAAGCTTGTATCCATTGACCGGAAAACTTGTCCGAGAACTCAGTATACATATTAATGGCAAAAATATGCTTCAAAGATCTGTTTGCAGGTGCAGAAATGGATTAAGCTGTAATTCAGAGCTGCTAGTGCAATATTTTTATAGTTTTATAATTTTATATCATGTTACATGTATTTGTATTTCATTGGATTTTTGATTATATATATATATATATATATATATATATATATATATATATATGTATATGTATATATATATATATATATATATATATATATATATATATATATATAGTTTTATACATACATGATGTGCGAAATATTGTTTCTTGTAAGGTCAGATGACACTTTTTTTGAATATCTGTTTTTGCATTCCTTTACAATATACCAAAAATATTTATAATTATCATTATATTTTGATTTCTAAACTATCTTCAAAATGTCTGAAAAATATTTAGGCCAAAAATTGTGATATTAGCAGTTCAAGTGATTTCTAGTATTGGATTATATCGGAAATACTATCCTACGGAACCTTGCACAAATGCCAGGTAAATTTGAGGGAACTTCTTAAAGTAGCAATATTTCAATCACAAAATTTTAGGAAAAGTTAAATATTTTCTTAACAGGAAGTAAATTTTAAAGTTATTCTTTAATGTACGTGATTTCTACTGACATCTGAATTAAATTGTACCTTAAAACAAAGTGTTTTTATCTCTATGCATTACTAACTTACCTGAGCTGAAGGCTCAAAGAACCAATCCTATGGCCATTTGTGTGGTTGTGTCAACTTTTTTGAATGTGGGCCATTATTTCAAAAAACCCCTTGGACATTTTATATCAATGTTGGCACAGAGTGTCCTTGGCTCAAGGGCTTTCGTTTATACAAAGAAGGAATGTGACCTTTAAACAAGGGGAGATAATTAGGGAAATAAAAAAAAGGAGTAGTTGCTAAGAATTTTTCTTTCAAGAACTGCTAGGCAGATTATCACCAAACTTATACATAAGGATAAGGATATGATGAAGATTTTTCAAGGCATCACTTAGGGCAAAGTGCATGGTCTTGGGTCACATCAAAGTTGACCTAAAGAAATAATTTGTTAAAACTTTGATATTTTGCTCACTATTAGGACTAGGGTCATCAACTTGTTATTTGATGCATCTTAAGACTTTGGGATATGTTGACCAAAAGGTAGGTCACAGTGACATACTTTTTTCAATTTCATCATTATTCATTTTTAAATTCTTTAAACTGCATATCTTGGACACAATAAAACCTAGGATCATCAAAGTTTGTCAGTTAATGCATCATAGAGTCCACAGTTCTGAAATAGTAGGTCACAGTGATCTACCTTCTGAATTGTATGGATATTCATTTTCAAAGCATTTTAGCTTATTATTTTGGTTATTAAGAAGCTTAGAATCATCAAACCTTGTCAGTTGATACATTTTATGGCCTTAGGTTGTGTCAACTACAAAAGTAGGTCACTTTGACCTAATTTCGAAGTTTTATGACAAATCATTTTAAAAACTTTTTAATTATTTATTTTGAACAATATTGTATGCAAGGTCAACAAACCCTAGTAACTGATACATCCAAGGGCCAGAGATAAGTCTTCAAAGTAGATTACAGTGACCTGAATTAAAACAGATAAAGGTTAATGTAACCATGTGCATTGTTTCATGCTACCCACTATAACATTAAGGAACTATAAACTTATTAAAAAGAACTTTGATTTTGAAGCAAATTACTCCAAAAAAAAAAAACAAAACATGACATTGCCATGTCAAGACTTCAAATCAGCAAATTATGGCAATTGGAGTACTTTCTGACTATTATGGTTGACATGGATAAAAATAGTTAAAATCCTACTATCTTTAATTACAAATTGCATGTTTTGTGCACGTAGGGTTAAAAACTCAATCGAAACAGGTCAATGGCCTCAACTATTGGTTATCCTTAAGGGCAACAAACTTAGGTTGCTGGATTTTTAGCTCACCTGAATTGAAAGCTCAAGTTAGCTTTTCTTTTCATCCATTGTCCAGCATCCATCCATCTGTATGTCTGTCCATCTGCAAACTTGTGTGTAAATAATTGCCTAACAATTAGTATGAAAAACGTCAGTCAACATTCGACTTGATGATAGATTGTATTTGCTGACAAGGTAATTGTATAGAACTTACGAAATGAAACTTCAAACGAGACTGTTGATATCCTTGTTTCATCAACTTGTTTGTTAATAGCTTACCTCATTTTAGAAATTATCAAATCAACTGGGAGATATAAACTTTATATGCAGGTGATAAGGTATATTGCTACATAAATAATGGAAGTTGATAGAAAAGTTGAAGTCATCACATTTATCATAAAATTTAGTTGTTAGGTTACCATTAACTTATTTTTCTAGAAATATATCCAAATATGAATGGTATCTTTTATTTCACTTAATTTCACTTGGGTATATCGAGTCAACATATGAGTGGAAGTAACTACAGATGCCCAGAGGAGTAAACATATCCTGCCAATGGGTCACATCCATCGTGAGACCTCGGTATTGATCAGGTAAAGTGGGTCACACCCGTCGTGAGACCTCGGTATTGATCAGGTAAACTGGGTCACACCCGCCGTGAGACCTCGGTATTGATCAGGTAAACTGGGTCACACCCGCCGTGAGACCTCAGTATTGATCAGGTAAACAGAGCAATTCCTAGTTAAATTTAATATAAAAACTATGGCCTGATATTTTATGGGAAACATATTCAGTAATAAAACTACCCAACAATAGGTTTTATTTGCAAACAAGGTCATTATATTGATTATAAATTTGGAAAACGATGATTTTAAAGGATATTGTAAAAAGAAAAGAAAAAAAACTTGTGACATCAACGTATTTATCAGTATCCGGTCTTCGTTTAAAACCCGCACTCAAAATATGCTTTAACAACATAAACCCCATATGCAGGTGATAGTGGAATATATAGATATAGAATGAAAAGCGTTTTCATCATATACAGTAGTATGATAACATTGACGAAATTATTCAAAATCAAAACCAGTAGAGTTACAGTCTTGTCAGAGATGATGGATATTAGTGGATCAACACATCATTGCTTATATTAAAAAAAATCCAACATGATAAGTTTATGGCCCCTAAGGATATTCAATTGTTGAGGCTATGGACCTGTCTCGATCGAGTATTCAACCCCATGTACACAAAACATGGAATTTGTAATTTTAATTCCTGTGGGCAGGAATATTAAACTACTTTTCTCTATGTCAACCGTAACAGTCAGAAAGTACTCCAATCCATTTGCGATAATTTGCGGATTTAGTATCTTGCAATTGACACGGCATTATGATTTTTTTTGCTTGAAGCAATTTGCTTCAAAATCAAAGTTCTTTTAATAAAGAACTGCGAACGATAGTATTGTTCTCCCCGCCTACCTCCAAGTCAATTTTCAAAAGTTAATATATTCGAATGATTTTTAATATTTATATTGATATTTATATGGATTTTCATAAAACATTACTTCTTTGGGAAAACAACGAGAGATAGCTCTAAAATTTTGGTAAAACTCGTGTTTTTCACTATAGAAATCAACAGAAAACGGAAAATATTTTTAAAACATCTCCCCCCCCCCCCTCCCCCCCCCCCCCGTGAAACAAAAATTCCTTTTTACGGGTAATATGGACTGTCACTTCACAAATTCATACCAAAGCTTTTTGTGTTTCACGGGGGGGGGGGGGGGGAACATATGTTTATATACAAAAAACGACAAAAATGCTTATTTTTTCAGCAATTTCCAAGTGCTTTACAACTGAAACATTACATTTTACTAATATATATGCTTAATTTTATATGCATAAAACATAAGAAAAGATTTAAGAAACATTTATTCATATCCAAGACTATTTCAGAATATGGTGATGCTTTATAGCCCGATTTCAGTGGAAAATATCGTCTACCCCCCTTATTTGATCAAGAGCTGGAATTAAGGATATTTTACTATTTAGCACTAGAATTAAAATAATTAATCAATTACCATTGAACTGTTCTTTGTATTAAACAAAGATTTTATGGCCAAATTGTCATCAATATTGAATTAAATGGTTGTAAAATGTAGGCGGGAATCGGGAGTTACCGTGCGTAGTTCTTTATATTTCCTAAATGTAATAGTGGGTGGCATGATAAAGTTACATTAACCTTTATCTGTTTTAATTAAAACTTGAAAAAAATTGACAGTTGTTTTTTAAGGCAACATTTTAAGATTTGTTTGATACTTTGGTCGATGTGGTCGATGAGCAAAGTCACATTTTGTCTTATTTTTTGGAAAATATGGAATCTGAAATCATTGATCTTCTCTAGGTAGTTCATTAAGAGTCGTGATCAGAGAATTAATTGTACAAAGTCTATGTTTAACCGCCTGAATAATCCTGTACAATGACTGCATTCTACAGGAAGCCGATCTACAGGATGAAAGCTGAATAATAAAACAAGTACGTTAAGCCATTCTCAGCATCGTCGCATCTTCTTTCAGGATAGGCTCTTGTTTTTTCTCTTAAAATGTTATTTACATATATCATAGAAAAGAGTTGAAAACGAAGTAAACTGTCCAGACTCTTAGTTATTAAATTAGAAGGACCTGCATACAGAGGATCTTTAATTGTGTTTATGTTTCCGACCATTTCGATCGAAATAGTCAACGGATAAGCACCGCCTTTTCTAGTCATAATGACATGGAAATATTAATACATGTGTATTAACAATTGTCCATTTTCACGATTAAAACAACTAACTATATTACTAAAAGTAGCCCACAGAGACCGAAATTCAAAATCCGTCTTTATTCATTAAAATCCTTCAAAATTCTTTTCAGTAAATGCAGTCATTGCGGATAAAAGTTTCTTTTGGAAAAGTGAAGTTGTGTTGATATTAACAGTTGTCTTTGTTCTGGCTTATGAGGTAGAGATGTGGATATTGACAGTTGTCTATGTTCTGCATGGCTGGAGGCAGGGGTGTGGATATTGACAGTTGTCTTTGTTCTGGCTGGAAGTAGGGTGTGGATATTGACAGTTGTCTATGTTCTGGCTGGAGATAGGGGTGTGGGATATTGACAGTTGTCTACGTTCTGGCTTGAGGTAGAATTGGGAATATTGAATGTTGTCTATGTTCTAGCTGGAGGT